TTAGAGTGCTTGCTGCACCTCTGGTGTTGAAATGAAACCATTGACTCCAGCTTATCCTCACCTTAAGAAACAACATATTGTTCACATACGAGCACAGTGGAGGGACAAACACAATAGCTGGCAGAGAGGGTCATGCTGAGAGTGGGTAGCAATTTTAAGCTGAGTCCACACATTTTGGAGGCGGTGGGCTAATCCGGCAGGGCTTTTTAGCCTGCTATTCAGGGGAACAAGGACCCCCAGGATTTGGGCTTGTCTACACCTCAGGGGTGGAGGATTATCAAGATAGCAGGAACTGAGGAAAGGGTGTGATGCTGGTTGAGCTGAATATGTGCTTATTAGTGAGACTGTGTGGAGTTTTGTGTGTGGCTGTGTATCTTTGTGAGAAGCTAACATGAGCAAATACGAGTGCACTTGTGTATTTGGAGTTTTTTTTTTTTTTTTTTTTTTTTGCTGACTCCCACCCCCTAAAAATATACCCCAGAGCTCTGACAGGGTCACCTCTGCGCCTTTCAGATCCTCCTCTCAACCAATCCTAATTGATCTCACGCATTACTAGTCCCAAACATGGGATGGAGAACAGGAGGGAGATGGCTGGCTCATTGTCTGAGGTACGAAGTCCCATTGCTAGTGGCTCTATGCTCCACTCTCTCTTTCACCCACACACTCACTACACCTCTGGCATGCCCACCCACCATCTCCCCCTTTTCTCCTCTCCCCTCCTCTGTGCTCTCATCTCCGGCTGTGCTAATCCACTGGCAGAGTCAGGAACTCAGTTACCCATCTGGCCAAGCACAACTCATGCTGGGAAGGAGAGAGGGGTGGAGGTGTGAAGGGAAGGAAGAGGAGAAATGGTAAGAGGGCCAGATTGAAAAAAAAGATATCAGTAGTTTGAAGGAGGAGATTGTGATGTTAGTTATACATACTTAAGGATGACAGATGAGAGCAGAGAAAATGATGTTTCTGTGAACAACACAGCTCACAGTGAAAGCTTCTTGAACATTAAAAATAAAAACGTGATGTCTTCTCTTTGTTTTGCTTGTAATAAAAGTATTGATCCCATTGTCTACTTGTGGATAAAAGGGATTATCCATTATTGCAGATTAGAATGAGAGCTGCCACTGAGCTCTGTCAGGACTTATACAGCCAGATCTCTGTGTGCAGTGAAGTAGCCCCCAGCCATGACCTTCACCTCTGATCCTAACTTCTTTGGTTCTTTGCAGCCATCTGGCTGGTTAACTCAGACCCCTGACCTTTGTCAAAGCCCTTAAGGGTCATCTACTTTATCAGAGGAAAAGCTGTAAACTTATCATCTTCAAAGCAGGACATATGATGATCTGTATCTTAACACTGCAATGTTTCAGAGGCGTGATAATCCTAATTTTTCATTTAATCTTAAAATTCTAATTCCTAAATTACCGTTGAAGTCCGGAAAATGGATTTTGATGAATAAAATAGTAAACAGGGAACTTCAGGGTTATGAAAAATACATGATCCTTTTTGCTAAAAAAAATCAAATAAATACAACAAGCCTGGTCAAAAAGGTCAGAAAGTAATGTTAGTCAATCTACATGGCTTGAATAAACTTCTGAGCATGAAGGTGAAGTCAAGGCTCTTGGAGTTTTACTTCATATCATGGAGCATGTGCACATCCCTGCTTGAGTCATGCTCTTTCCTTTCTCCCAAACCACTCATCACTGTCGACTGAAGCAATAAGAAGACTGCAGCCCACTTTGCTTCCAGAGGACATTTGAAGGTAGTTGGGAAGAATGAGTACATGATAAACCACTGCAGAAGCCACAGAGGAGAAATACCCCCATTCTGAGAGATGGAATCAGACCACCTCCATCAAACCGTCAATCAAACACTAACAGCACACAGCATGAGGCTAACACAAAGTTGTCGTGAGTGTGTGGGTGTGTGGGTTCAGGATAAAAGCCATGGAGAAGCACAGGTGAAACCAACTTTAGTCTGAACTGAACATAATAGCATGTACAGGCTCTCACACCAATATATCACAGATGAGATTCTTTCCAGATGAAGAAAAAAGGTTGTACTTACAGACATTCCCAGTGTTGTCAAAACTGTTGAGCACTTCATTAACTCTAAGAGGCCCCAGGTTATCCCTGTAAGACACACAATTATTTATATTACATTGCAATATATTATATTCTATCAGTTGAGTTACATTACATTACAATACATTACAATACATTACAATGCACAAAATTACACAGTAGCCTCTGAATGAACTGCCAACCAATTTTCTAACAAACTGTAAGTAAAGAGACAAAGAAAGTCAAATATTCCATTAAAACCCATGGCCTTCTTTTCCTGCAAGAAAAGTAATACAGAATGAGTCTGTCTTTTTATCATAGACATTGCTTTAACTGGATTTGTTTTCCTTTAAAAAAATAATTTAGAAAAAGGTAAATGTATTTGCTATATAAGATCTATGTTGTTTTTTTAAGTCTCAATTTGTCATTTCATTTTTTCTTGCAGCATTTTTGCCCAGTTTAAGACTTTTTGTTCTGTTTCACAGAACCCATTATCTTTTGTCTAAAGGTAATATTTTTAAGATATCAAGGTGAGACAGCATTTGTTTTATTGCTTTTTTATCACTTTTTATTATATTTTAAAACAACTATTTGTTGTTGTTTTATGTTTTTATGTTATTATGTACAGCACTTTGTGTGAGCTTTGGTTGTTTTTATAGTGCTCCATAAATAAAGTTGAGTTGAGTTGAGGTTACATCTTAAAAATCAATCATAAAGCATTTCTATTTTTTCATTGGAACAGATTTATTTTTTCACAACAAACCCTATATTCTAGATACAGTAGTCTCTTCATCCTCAAGGCTTTTTATAGCATCTATTTGAATAATAACTTTGTATAATTCTGAAACTACTCTTACAATACAAAAGTCAATACAGTGTGTCCGATGTAAAAGATAAATGAAGCAACTGATCTTTTACTGGATGTATCCAGATTTAAATGCTATGCCATATAATGAAATGGCTCTGTGTGTGGTTACCTGAGAAAGGCACTGTACTCAGGAAAGTGAACACTTCTGTACTCCACCCACTGGTCGTCTGAGGTATCACTGGGATCTTGTGTTGAAATATTTCTCCTGCTGAAAAGGTCAAACGAGGCAAACCGGCGAACTGACACCTGTTTGACCTCTGGGGTGTCAATTTGCTTCTGACGCAGCACCTGTGAGTGATTAAGAGAGGATTAATAAACTTAACTTGAAAAAAACATGCACAGCCCTTAATCAGAACATCTTGTCATTAACTGAAAAGTCTGTCACTAACAAAATTCTGTTTCAGTCCAAAAGATAAAAGGTAATTTGGGAAGGCTATAAGAAGCCACCAGGATGACAGCTATTCATAAAAAATTGTTTAGTTACTGGTGTCACTAGTTAGTAATTTCTTTGGTTAGATATTTATAAGAATATTTTCCAACATCATGACAGGACCTATTTTAGTCAAGGAAGAACATTTATGATCATTTCTCCATGGAAATGCAATCAAACTGAGATGCTAAGGCAGCTATCACATCTGCTGTGCAAAATGATTAATATGGTGACTATCACTTCAAGGAAATGATAAAGAAATGATCATAAATGTTCTTCCTTGAGCTGCGTCCCCCGGCTGTAGTCTGTAATGGACTGGCCCGAGGTCTCGCTACAAACAAGCAGCTGCTGGAAGAGAGAGGGTGAGTTGTGCATTCATCTCTCAAGGGGGTGTCTGAATTTACCCCTTGACCCTGAAATAATTTTACGCTGGAATATCCCTTTAAGCTGCAAATAAACCTCTCTGTCTGTCTGTCTGTCTGTCTGTCTGTCTGTCTGTCTGTCTGTCTGTCTGTCTGTCAAGAGTTAAGTCCATCGTAAACCGATGGCAAGAGGGTTTTTCCTCAGCAGAGTGTAACTTTTGTGAAATTCCCATCTATGGGGAAAAAGTACAAGCCCTGCTGCTCATGTGTATGCAAGGAAAAGACTGAGTTTTAAACTTATTCTACAGGTGCAAGAAAAGTGGCAGAGTTTGCAAATGCAAATGACATGCGACAATATTGCTAAGAAAAAAAAATAACTCATAAAACCTGTCAAGTAGGTATATCAAATAAATGTCAGACCTGCTGGATTAAAACACTGTAATGACACGACAACATGAAAAAGACATGAATAACTGTTTTTCATCATACTTACACGGCTAAAACCGAGGATACGACCTTCCACAGAAAAAAATATATACCTACAGCAGTGTTAACGGTAACGATGTTGCTATAATCAAAAATATGTTTATGACTGGCTCTTAAATTGCGCTCTCATCATCTTCATTGTTACGAAAATCCGAGTCTAAACTTCAAATGAAGCATGTATCCCATTTTCAATGATCTGTATCAGTATCAGGTTATCAATACCTGTCTCAGCAGAGTCCATCTTGCCTTTGCGACATCAGTTGTGCCACAGGTCCCAGTCCGGGAGTCAGCTGCGCAGGTGTCTTCTTCTTCTTCATCATCATCGTCAATGTTTCCTCTCCCAGACTCGCTCCTCTCTGCAGCAGCGTTGCAGTCCCTCTCCATGTTATCTTCGTAGCTGCCGGTGGAAAAACGACTCTTCCACCTGTAAATGAGTTTTCTGACGGTTGAACTTTCACAGTTATCGGTGTCAATCGAGTAATAAAAAACACAGCTCTCGAAGATAACTAAACTAACGCAAAAATCACCGTGAAACCATCCAGCTTGTACGTTTTCACCTGTTACACCCACAATCGATGCATGCTACTTCCGTACACTTTTGGCGTTCAAGACATAATAGTCGATTACCGAATCTGTTCTGTTCGATTTACATTCACAGGGGCCGGTGGTGCGCTTCTGAGTTTGATTGTTTGAGTCTGAAAGTGCACACTGCGTCATCCAGAGCCGGCTTTGTACAGGAAATCATGCACGTGTGTAGAAGTGTCTTGCTGCTGTAGCCAATGAAATTACGACTGAACATTTGTTTTTGGATAACGTAATAACATAAAAAATGGTATAAGACGTTATTTTGTTAAATGAAACAGCGTTACGCTCGTAGATGGCAGTCGCAGTCAGAGACACGATGAGTTAAAGCCCATACCAGCTGATTTGGACAGTGTTTATGTTTTATAATGGCTGCTGTGTCGTTGCTGTTGTTATCATCTGTGCGTCTCACATCAGCACCTCGGTTACGACTTACGGAGATTGCAAACTGCAGACGCATGACACGACTTCTTGCACGGGTCCAACGTTGTTTCACATCGGTATGTTAGTTCGTCTATGTGCTGTTTTACTTCATGAAGATCTTGATATAACATGATCGATGTTTTGATGTAAACAGTGACCCCGTGAACTGGTGACCTTAAGTCGCAGTTAGTGCCAGAATAATCTTGAATTATAGAGGTGTATTTTGACATGGTATTGAAACAACACAGTGACTAAAAAGCTTTACATCTGTAGGGGAGAGTGGGGTAAGTTGAGCCACCCTCTGTTGCTTGGAAGTGGTAAAAGAAATTGATCATGTGACCAAACTCTTAGGAGATGGTCATCAACTATGACCTATGGAGTCTGTGAAGGTTAGAAGCACATGGGTGAAGGGGTTAGACATTTTTTTCCAAAAAAACGTCTTTCACTCTTGAAAGTGAATTTAGTCTGTCATAAGTTTTATTAGAATTGTTTTCAGACCAAAAAAGATCATTTTAAATTTGTTCTATACATCAATTGTGGTATCTATGAGCTACAACATGAGGTCAAAAACCTAGCAGAAAAGTCCACAGTATACTACTGTCCACCATTTTAGCTTAGAGGACTAATAAAGTCATAATAGTGGTTCTGGGGTAAGTTGAGCCAGTGGCTCAACTGAGAAAGTGAAGGAGTCTGATGAGAGGATCAGAGTTTCAGTTCAGATTGTTGAAATGTGTTACTTTTTCTTCTCAAAAATACAGCTGTGAATGTCCTGATATTGGATGGTGTATATTACTACTACTATTATTATTATTATTATTATTATTATTATTATTATTATTTTGTATCATACTGAATTATTGTGGTCTTGCTGTATGGAGTAGGGGTATCGGCTGTAGGTCTGATGGGCCTGATCTCGCTGATCTTGGAAGGATCAAGCTTGATCTAGGGTTTCTTTTATTGGTACGCAAACCACACATTGCACTTTGTTTCTGCACTTTATGCACTCTGCTCAAGCAGAAATACTGGTATGACTGACATATGCTTTTTTTTACCTTCTAAATCGTCTTTAATGCTTTTCCCCCCCTGAATTGTTTTTTTTATGTAAATGTATTTTCTTTTATTTTCTTTTATGATGTATGGCAGTGTTTTCAATGCCTGTGCCTGCTGCAGGACGATTTGCCCATTTTGGGACATAATAAAGTTGAAGTGAAGTGAATCACTTATAGACATTCTTATGTTTAAATGACTTTTTACAAAACAGCTTTTTAGCAGTAATATGCAATAATAATAAAAAGAATTATTGTACCAGTTGAATAACATATAATAGATAAAAAATACACATGAATGTGAAGAATTGACTGTTATTTAGGGAGAGAGAAGGTGAGGGAGGGCTGGGGTGGAGAGTGGGGGGTTGTAGGGATACAGCTCAAGTGGTCTCCTATGGTCAACTTACCCCATGTATGGGGTTAGTTGACCATAGGAGACCTTTTTTTTGGCATGCTATATTATCAAGACAGTTATGTTTACACTCATTCTGTTGGTTTGCAGGGATGCACAACATCCTGAAATATATGTGGATACACGAGTTAGAGACAAAACTATGAGCACCTTAATGTAGTGATCTGAAATCTGAGAAATGGCTCATCTTACCCCACTCTACCCAATACCAAATGTCTTACAAACCATATTGATTGTAACTAGAGGTTCACTGTGTGGCCCACTGAATCTTGCACAAGACTTTTTCCATGATGTATCCTTTTTTTTTTTCAGGACACTTCGAATTCATCAAATGAGCAACTCAGCTCTGGACTGCAAAGATACAGGGGCTTGCAGGAGTATTTCTACAGGAGACTTAAGGAAACATATCACAGGTTCTCAGACCTACCTGATCACTCAGAGGTAAGGCCTTCTATCTGGGTTTGTACCATTTTATGACTGCACTGATATTAACCTCAAAGGGGTTAATTACAACAACATCTACCTCATGTACATAACTCATCTGTTATATGACATGTGCAAAAGTTTTAGGCAGGTATGGAAAAAATACTGTAAACTAAGAATGCTTTAAAAAAATATAAATAATGATTGTTTGTCTTTCTAACTATCTACATAATGCAAAGTATTCCAACAAAAGAAAAATCTAAATCACATCAGTATCTCATGGGAATTTTAGAAATGCTTTAAACAGTCAATTCGTCCATTTGTAGTTGGCCTGTTTGAAGAGGCTCTAGAGAAAAAGGAGCTCCCCATACTCTTAGACAAGGATTGATAAAACTAGTCCCAAAGCCAAAAAAAAGGATAAATTAGGCATTGAAAGCTGGAGACCAATTAGCTTATTGAGTAAGTTAATCTGTGTCTCTGGTTTGACAATGAACCTTAGCAAATCTGTCAATTTTCCCCCAAAACACAGAGGCAGGGTAGAATTGAGTGAGATTCCCATTAAACTGTGATATATGTGGCAAGCTTTGAGTCAATAACTCAAAAATAGGAATAAATAAATAAAATGAATATGTGGTTAATAAGGGGTTTGTGCTTTAAGGGTCGCACACTGTTATTGAAAGCAGAAGGAATATCAAGATCTGGATATTTGTTTCTTGCACTAAAAATGCCTGCTACCGTTTCCGAGACACTGAAGAAACATACTGTGATCTTTGATGCACTGCCACAGGGTGTGCAACAGCTTTTGAAGGGGACTTAAAAGAAAGACTGGGGTTACAGAGAATTACAAATGTGAGATTTTTTTTTTGGTGAATTAGACATTACAAAAATCTTGCTCTAACAGATATTTGAAATGTTGCCTGGAGGGCAAGTTTACTGGTCTGCACAATTTGGAAAGATTAAGTGTGGCTGGTTGATGACTAAGTTCTGTATTAATAACAAGGTGAACTCTGCAAAGAAAACATCTAAAAGATTTAATATAGACACTGAATGTTTGTGCGATTTCAGTGAACTTGAAGATAAATCCCTAACTCACTTATTCCATCAGTGCACTGACAGTAGAGCCTTTTGGAAAGATATCCAGCATTTTGTACAAAGTAAGAAACATTTGAGTTTATTTTTATGTTCAAGTTGTTTACAAAGATTTCTGGGAGTTGATTTTCAGTTTAGGGAAATTACATATCCATAAAAATAAATGGGCCGAATGGGGTATGACTTATCCTGCAACCAGTTACTAGGCTGTGCTGTTCTGGCACACCTCCAACGAGGCTTCACTCTCTGGAGTTTCACCTGCACCTGCACCTTCACCTTCTCCATCATCTTCAGTGGTTGGGTCACCACCTGGCTTGTGCGGCATAGTGGCTGGCTGACTGCGCCGCTCTCTCACTGAAACACACAGTGCCTGTTTTAAGCATCTTGATGAACTTTACAAAGGACACGGAACAAGCTGATGTTTACACAATACCTTCTTTTTCAAAAGCATTTTCAACAGGCTTTTTCTTCTTCTTTACGGCAGGGTCGGCATTAGCATGATCATCAATGGTGACTGAAGGGAAAAGGACAAGTTTTCTGTTCATTATGCTGGTTAGGAGTGATAGCATTTTCATGTATAAGAAACTGTATAAGAGAAAAAGACATTTAACCAAATGAATGACAGAAGCGGTAGTGTTTTAGCACCTATTGCCATGAAGACATCTTTATCTGGCTCACACGTCAGGGCTCCAGAAACCAACTTTTTAGTGAGCAGTTTGAGGCAGCTTACTTTGTAAATGTATTAAAAATGGGAGGCAAGTCTGGGTCAGCCCGCCGCGGAGTGTGAGACAGACGTGGAGCAGCAGGACTACTGAGATAAATGACACAGAGCTGCTCTGCCTGTCTGTCTCTGGTGTGGAGGAGCTTCTCACTCCTTAGCTGCAGCTGTAGCATAACGCAGTGTCTGCAGGAGTCTCCTGCTGCAAGACGTGTCACCGTTTGTGTAGTGTTAGTAATATGCATGTTTAAAGTGCAAAATAAAGAGAAAAAATGCGTGTGTCGTCTCTGGTCTGAGTAAATTGTTTCATTCGTGGTCCTGACCCGACCACTGGTTCCTGTTTTCCCCATTTTCACTATTTAAAAAGAGCTCATCTTCACACAGATGGGGTCATTCACTGTTGCAGGTGACAGGGAGACATCAGCAGAGACCAGAGATTTTAAAAAAAAAATCTAGTTAAAATTTCCATACAGGATGTTAAAGCAAGTAATTTTGGAAAAATATTTAATTGAATAACAAAAGACAAAACAGAAAAGGCAACGCTTTCAGGTGATGCCTATGAAGTGTGTGGGGCTAATGAGAGCTTGCTTACCTGAGTCCGGCAAAGCCTCCCCTGTTCTCCTTCTGCTCCTTCTGCGCCCCTGCCCCTTTTGCTGGTTTTGGTCCTCTTTCTGGAGCATCTTGGCATTGTCAGTCAGTCGACGCTTAGCAGGCTTGTAGGTCCTGTCATTTCTCTACGGAAAGCAGGGTTAAAGAGAAATAAAGAAAAAAGAAATTGAAAAATGTTCGGCCAGGATCTTTAACCATCTTGATATGGCGTATTGTCATAATTCACAGAGAGATAGTTGTTGTTTTCGGTTCTCCTGCCTTAAAGTCCCACTCTGATCTTTTTTTTTTTTTTCACAGTGTTCTCATTGGACTTTAAATTGTAATCATGAAGTTTTTTTACCTAAATCACGTTACTTGTGTCATTTTTAGGGGCTTTTCTTCTGCAGAACCCAGTAGCTCATTAGCAATTTGCCTTTGAGTCATTGGCGGAGACAGTGCTGCTCTGCACCCTCCTCATCTGAAGTACAGTACAAACATGCACTACCTTGGGGTAGTTCCCAGAGGTAACCCGTGTGGAATTTCTGTAGGGGAGAGTGGGGTAAGATGAGCCATTTTTCATATTTCAGATCACTACAGTGTATCTGCATATATTTCAAGATGTTGTGCATCCCTGCAAACCAACAGAATGTCCAAAGTGGTCTCCTATGGTCAACTTACCCTGTGTATGGGGTAAGTTGAGCCGTATCCCGACTACCCCCCCACTCTCCACTCCAGCCCTCCCTCACCTTTTTCTCTCCCTAAATAACAGTCACTTCTTCACATTCATTTGTATTTTTATCTATTATACGCTATTCAACTGGTACAATAATTATTTGTATTATTATTGCATATAACTGTTAAAAAGCTGTTTTGTAAAAAGACATTTTAACATGAGAATGTCTTTAAGTGATTCAGAACATTCACAGCTGAATTTTTTAATAGAAAAATTAACACATTTCAACAATCTGAACTGAAACTCTGATCCTCTCATCAGACTCCTTTACTTTCTCAGTTGAGCCAACTTACCCCTGACCAAATGACTCGTCTTACCCCAGAACTACTGTTATGACTTTATTAGTCCTCTAAGCTAAAATGGTGGACTTTTATGCTAGGTTTTTCACCTGATGTTGTAGCTCATAGATACCACAATTGAAGTATAAAACAAATTTAAAATCATCTTTTTTTGGTCTGAAAACAATTCTCATAAAACTTATGACAGACTAAATTTACTTTCAAGAGTGAAAAATGCTTTTTTGGAAAAAAAATGTACATGAATCGATGCCCATCTCCTAAATATTTGGTCACATGATCAATTTCTTTTACCATTTCCAAGCAACAGGGGGTGGCTCAACTTACCCCACCCTCCCCTATAACACGATCACAAAATGCAGTTGCTGGGAGAGATAGACATCATCGGCAGTCCTCTCCCAGCAACTGCAGTTCTGTTTTGATACTGGTGTTGTCTTTGTAAGATATTCCTATTTTCCTATTTTACAAGCAAGCCAGAGTCACGAAGCCTCTTTCTGCATCTACACATCACGGACAGACGAGATACAACAGGGGTAACGGGGGTACTGTGTGTTTGTGTGTGTGTGTGTGTGTGTGTGTGTGTGTGTGTGTGTGTGTGTGTGTGTGTGTGTGTGTGTTAGTAAACCTTTTTGCTCTTTAGATTTTCATCCTCATAACTTTCACCAGCGTGTGTAATCTCTTCATCATCTTCCACTGCTCTCTTCCGTTTTTCGGGTGTCCTTTTTGGCATATTTCGCAACCTCACTTTCCGTCACAGAGAAACGAAACTTGAAGAAAACAAGAATCGTGTTAGGCGTATCCCTCAGTTTTAAACAGATAAAACAGCACTATCATAAATTTAGATATTCCTTTAGGCTTTTCGGACTTTGTTGAATTAGTTCACGTTGTGCCGAGCATAAACTTAAATTCTAGGATATCATGAGTTACATCAGTGTGGCACAAAGCAGCTCTTCTGGTTAACTTAAACTATATTCCAAACAGATAATAAAGGACTGCCTGGCCGAACAACCGCTGGTATAATGCATATACTTTAATGATAACATACACTTTATATACCTTAATGTCCCTAAATTCAAGAATTGATGCCACAACGTGAAGTTTGGCTACTCACCTTCAGTAAAAACGTCCAGCAATAGCAGCCGTCAGTTTCTGTCCTAGAGGTCGGCAGATAATGTCATTGCACAATTTGCATATCATCATTCCAGCCTCTGGTTGACGCGTCGACACATGAAATTTTACATAAAACATATCTATGATCACTTTGATGATTCAGGTAACATGCTGTCTTTTGTCTTCACACCTTTTCCAATCAAAGAATTTATCAACGCTATTCCAGATATTCCAAAGAAACTAAGTGGAACATTTTTTTTCTGAAATCTAAGCTTGAAAACATTAACTGGAGGAGGGCCTGGCTTTTACCTTATAGAAACTGTATCACCAACAAAGCTAAAGTGGTAGGGGAGACCGGGGCTTGTTGTCACACTTTTTACACACTTACATATTTCTTATCAATACATCATATATAAACAAAATGTGAACTAGATGAAAGACCAAAGTCTCAGGTATATAATTTGTATTCATGTTATTTTCATATCTTGTGTCAGTGCAGAGTTATAAGCAATTACACAGATTGTGAACACGTGACATGTTGCCCCACCATTGGGTAAGTTGTCTCACTACATGGGGTAAGATGTCACAGTGGATTTTGCAGCGAATAAAACAAGGACAAAATTATTGACGTTCTCATTTTATTACTCTGCCACGTTCTGTTTTTCTCTTGAAATTCACGACCATGTCTTCTTGCTTTCTCCTCCCCTTTAAACTCATAGATTGTATATAAAATGGACGCCGTCTGCCTCCTCGCTGGGTGAAGCCACTCCGAGAGCAGCGCCCTCTGTTGACGGGCTACAGTATAGGTCATAAATCCCACCTCCACGCTACTGCGCAATGCTGGTTTCAGGAAGTGGAGAAAAAACGTGGAATTACCAAGTGCTTTTTGGCTTCAAGTCGGTATACTGGTGGGAGGCGGAACCAAGTTGTCCATAGTATAGACAGTCTATGTTTAAACCACTCTTTTCTTTGTAAAAATAAAGTCAAAGTTTCAATATGACAGCTGCTGATAAGCAGACTCTCTATGTTAATTTTAATCCTTTTAAACATGTGACAACTAACCTCAAAACGACTGAGACATGTTGCTCCAAACTACCATGTTTGCTTACTCTAGCTTAAAGTTAGCTAAAAACAGAGCAATGACTGAGATGTGACAGGATGCTTTAATCTCTCCTCTAACAAGTTCACATGTAACACTGCTGGGATTTTTATCTGGAAGAAACTTATTTTAAAATATATAAAGTTAAAATCTTTTACTTTGGGTTGTGCAAAATGGTTCATTGGTGCTCATCTCAGCTCACAATGTGCTCTTCTCTTCTCAGACAGGACACGACCCCTGACCATGTAAGGGAAGAAAACTAGTTTTCCACTTTTTAGTTGCGCCCTCTGGTGGCAAAGATGATTTCAATGTGACAACTTACCCATGTGACAACAAGCCCCGGTCTCCCCTACACTTGGAAATATCACATAAAATTCATCCCGTTAACTGCCTCATTGTTATGTTTATAGATTGTGACTAAGTGCAACATTTTCCCTGAGACTGTTATTGAAGAACTATTATTTAATATTACTGAATTTACTTTATATTTATTGTAATGGTTTAGAACAGAGGAGGGGTCCACAGCTGCACCCGCTGTTCATTGAGGAGAATAAGATCACATATTTTCATGTCAGAGTCTCCAAACTCCAGGAGAAAGTCGGTAGATTTGTTGTTAATTACGGAGCCCCTCTAGTGACATTAGATAAACAAAAATAATGCATGACGACGAGATAATAACATGTGGCCATTAGATGCTTGGCGTGGCCACGAGAAAGTTAATGTGTGGCCACAAGATAACATGTGGCCACGAGAAAGTTGGCCTGGCGTGGCCAGGGGATAATTCTCCTTTAACATCATCAAAATGGATCATTCATCATTCAAATGGATAATCATGAAGTTGATTATCCATTTGAAATATTGTCACATGTATGCTTATTCTGGTATATTGTTTGCCGTCCTGGATTTCCATAAATGCTAAAAAGAGAATGTAAAATCAACATAATGTCGTAACTATATATTTTGCAGGGGTAAATGACCCAGTTTTTTGTTTCATTTTGACATGAAGCAATGATGAAGATGGGTAGTGACATGACTAGAGAATTTATGGAGCATTATCACTGAAATAAATGCAAAAATATAGATAAATCAATAGGCGGAATTGGACTTGGAGAAAAAAACAAAACACCAGAACTACTCCCACTTCTCCCTTCCACTCAGACATTTAACCAGACACGATACTCTTGAATGCAGTTTGAGTAGACTTTGTTGTTTGCTGTGGATAGAGTAAAAACTGCTCCTTCAGGTAACTTGGGCCCAACTCGGCCATAGATATGGAGGACGTTCAGGGTCTCTACTGGGTCTCAGGGTGTATCTACCTTTAGAGAGTGTGTCTTGTTCTGCTCATAGAGAGGGAGCATTCGTTGATTTTCCAGAGAGTTAGGTTCATCAAATCCAGGTTTCACCCCCTGTGTCTTGATCCTACCAATCCAGTTCAGCACAGTGAAGCTATGAATGTTTGTAGTTATTTTGTCCAGATTGTCTCACTCCAGATGAAATACTTTGTTGCCCTCACTAGTTGTATTTCAGGGACTGAGAGAAGAGGAAACCTCATCAAGGGCCTTGGTTAACGCAGCCTCGAAGGAATTAAACATTTTCATTTCTTGTAAGGACTGAGCTGTTGACAGAGATTTGTGATTTTTCTGAGAGTTGATTTTCTGTCTGGGGAAATTTCATATCCATAAAAACAGATAGGCCAAATCTAAACCAAACATTAAAAACCTTAGAAAAGAACTGCTCAGCTATGCTGCCACAATCAAAAACTGTAGAAAAATGAAAGCTGCCAAAACATTTACCATTTTGTGGAAGTGATTTGTAAAGTTCCTTTTTTTTTTTTTTTTTTTTTTTTGGGGGGGGGGGGGGTTTCTTTGTTGTATATTGTATATAGTATCTACTGTGTGCTTGAAAGTATTGGTTTGTGTTTGTATGCAAGGTTGTATAATGTTATAAAAAATATTTGTAGACAGAGAGCAAAGTTTAATCCTTGTCTGATTAGAAACCGGCCAATGTGGTTCACAGGAACAACAGCCAAGTTTTATATCATGACTCATCTCTGTGTAATGAAAACCAAATTTGACTATATAATAGGAACATAAAAAAGTGGTTGATAACAGTGTTGAATCAGTACAGTTTTGAAAACCTAAATATCACTTGGACAACATTTGAAAACTTAGGCATCAATTAAATACCAAGAAAATTACACCATGAACTGTTGTTTCTCTTGAAACAGATCCATGGACGTCACCATGTGTACTTTGTTGAAGCTGGAGGCATCTACAGAATGGACACACGAACAAGTACGATATGCAGCATGCTATTAACAAGCCAAAAACCTGGGAACAGAGAGCTCTGAGATCTTATAAAGACCAGACTTAATCCACAGGCGTTTAATTAAAAAGTGTTTGAGGGGGGATTGCAGATGTTTATCAGCCTTTCTTATAAACTCCATTCCCACATCTCCATCTATAACTTAAATTGATCTTTTGGGAGCCTTCTAACTGTCTTTGCCTTTTTTTTTCACTCCAAATGTAGGTGGACCAGAGCAAGTGTTTAATCTGGGACAATTTTCTGAACAGGAGGTGAAGACAAGACTTAATAATGAAGAAGGGAAAGAGAGATTTCAGTGGATTGTCCAGAGAATACGTTTGTCCCCACAGGAAAAGCATCTCGCTGCCATGTTGAAGGCTGATCAGAAAGAAGAGCTCAGGTGAGAGCCGAACCAAGTGTGAAATCTCAAAAAAGCTCCATTTTTATTTTTCGCATAAACATCCAATTTGAAACTGGTTTGATAAATGGGTTGTTTCTGAAAACCAGGTGTGTAGTTATAAAACTTGGAAGGCCTGAGTTCCCTCTGTCGGGCCCCCCACGTGTTGTGTTCACAGTGGACAAAGTTATCACCTTTGGTATGTTTTACATAGTTTGCATGCATGGAAAAAATGTATTTTAGCAACAATAGTGCACAGACCAAACTAAACTTCTATGTGTTTCTGTCTACATGGCTGAAGAATGGCTGACGGATGAAGTCCTGTTTTACACCGTACTACAGGATCTACGCTGCAGCAAAGTATTTCGCCTGGACCTGACCTCTACTGGAAGCAGAATAACTTCTGTGTATGAGGAAACACAGCCAGAGTGAGTGTAACCATGTTGCATTTAGGCTGCCTCCATTGCCTCAAAAGATTCCTAACTGACCGTCATTCACTCAGTGTGTTTGTGGAGGTTGCCCTCTCCAGAGACCGAGAGATTTTGAGCATCAACTGCAACAGCAGGACCAGCTCAGAGGTACGACTAACCAAAACAACTACACCTCATGCAGAACCTTTTCTGGTTCAGCCACACCAGCTGGGCCTTCTGTACCATGTGGAGCACTGGAGAGGGCAGCTGATCATACTGGCTAATACAGGACCTGGACAGGAATATCAGGTAGAGATTGCACAAACATACAAAAGCGATATACTGTCTATAGAGCAAAAATAATTCTCAATAACACTGTACAGATGTGTTTTTTTGTCTGAAGACATAGTGAAAAATGAGGATTTTGTGTGACAGCTTTTCATACACTGTTTGTACACACAGATATGTCCATGCTAGATAAATGTGTACTGCTGCCACTTTCTCTAAATTTCTTAAAAGTGTGCAGTTTCAAATGTTTGTCAAAAAAGTTTGTCTTTGGTATTCTTGAGTTATTCCAATCAAATACCTCATGTTCAGTGACTTTTTTCTGCTATAATAATATACTGTATGTTACTTTCAGAATACAGAATATCTGCAAATAAATATTTTGAGTTTTAATTTTTAAAAGCATATTGTTTTGTTCCAAGTGAGGAGATTTATCCTTCTGTCCCTTCGTCAGGTGGTACAGACTCCTCTCTCAAAGCCATCTATGGCCTCCTGGGTACCCTTGTTTGTGCCTGGCCCTGGTACCGTCATCAAAGACATGGATGTGGTGGGAGACCACTGTGTGTTGGTTGCAATGTCAGCCGGTGAACTTATGCTGATCGTCGTACCTTTGAACCATCCCGAAGAAGCATACGTTGTAGAGGTCAGACATAGAATATCGCACATCTTTGCATCTTCTTCTTGAAATTCCTTGTGTTTCACCTCAGTCATGTATTGTGCTTCTTTATCATATGAATATATGCTAAGCCACATTGTTGTGTCTATATCTCTTACTTTTATGCATTAATTTTCTCTATCTTTGATTTCAACTCTCCTAAGCTCCCCTCTTGGGCCTGTGCCATCACAATTAAGAAACCCAGCATGGCAGACCAAAGCGCTGTGTTCCAGTTCTTGATTTCATCTCCGGTCTGCCCCCCTGTGCCCTACAATCTATACCCAGAGGATGGGCTACTTTTATGTAGCACCAAAGATGGATCCTCTCCAGAGAACCAGAACAACTACACCACCACTCGCTTAAAGGTCTGCAGCCAGGTAGGAACACCTGGGTTGTGAGGTGCAAGCACACACCGCAACTAAAAAAGCAGGAAAAGAAAGTATTTTGATTCAAGATTGTGAAACGAGTCAATGGAGCACACTCTGACACACATCTCTTCATAGACGCTGAATACAGAAGGACAAATGATCCAAAGTTAACTTCATCAAACACATTGATTGTCGCATTGATCAGTCATCTCTTCTTCTCAACAGGATGGTACCTCTGTGCCTTTGACTCTGTTGCACACAGGCTCTGTACAGGGTTTGAAACAGGCACCACTTCTGATCCATGTCTATGGAGCTTATGGCAGAGATCTCAACATGGAGTTTTGCCCAGAGAAATTTCTGCTGCTTGAGCAAGGATGGACTCTGGCCTTCTGCCACATTAGGTAACACTTCAGCTCTCCAGCTACTTTAAACTGACTCAGCGGATTATTTTGAAGCCTCTGAAACTGAAAAAGTATGTGAGGTCTCATACACTGTGAAAGTTAGTGATGTGAAATAATCTGTATCCTTCACTGTTACACTTTGCAGGGGTGGAGGTGAGCTGGGTCTCTCCTGGCACAGACAAGCTTGTGTGGAGGGGAAGCAGAGAGCTGTGGAGGATCTTGAAGCCTGTCTCCATCACCTTTTCTCTGTAGGGGTCTCCTCTCCCTCACTCACTGCTCTGACAGCTTGCAGTGCTGGGGCTGTGCCAGTGGGAGCACTGTGCAACAGACACCCACACCTGATGCGAGCTGTCTCTCTGCAGGTAAGATGATAAATGATCAGAAGTTTGTTTGTGTTGTCTTGGAGTTCATGGCTGTCAGTGTTATTTGATCTCTGAGGATGAATATTATCAGTGATTTCTGCCGTATCTTCCACAAAGGGAACGAGAGAACAGGCGCAGTTCAACACCTACATGAACCGTTAACTTCCTATAGTTTTAAAAATAGCAATACAATTGTGCAAAAATAACAATGTGCAGTAAAAATGTCTACCAATAATACTGTGCAATAACCGCTGCTGTGAAAGAGCTTAGAAAAACAAGTATTGAAGATTTCATTACTTTTTAATTGTTACTATGTGTCCCTGTGTAAGTAAGTGTGTACTCCGAGTATTTAATTCCCTGTCTCCCTTTTTTTATTTTTTACCTCATATTCAATAACATGAACATTTCCAGTACTTTTTGCACTTTGTAAATAAAATTTTATTTGTTTCGATTTTTTATCGCTGTATGTTGTCATACTGCTTTTGTTTTTGTAGAGACGACTTTAGAAGTATCGCACAAAAAGTATGATGTTTATGTACTGAAATGGCAATAAATGTCTGTTTTATTCTATTCCAATTTTTTTTGTTCTTGCTGAAAGACATTACCAGAAAACTTAAAATGGCCTCTTTTTCCTGTGTTCAGGCTCCTTTTCTAGATGTGTTGGGAACTATGGAGGATCCCAGCCTGCCACTAACTTTGGAGGATAGAGAGGAGTGGGGTGATCCAGTCGGAAACCTTAAACACAGACTCACCATCTCCTCCTACTGTCCCCTTCACAACATTACTCCTCAGGTATAAAAAGGAGATGTCAATGAAGTTTTTTTTTTGTTTGTTTGCTGAAAAAAAAAAGTCTTTTTAGATCGGCAATTAACAAAGGATTAACAATTAATAACTTTGCAAGGCACCATCATGATAATGACACTGAAAGTGGACCATCTGTGTGTATGTTTGTGTGTGTTTTGTGAGCTAGTGCTATCCATCCATTCTGCTGACAGCCTACAGAGACGATGCACGAGTTCCTCTGGCTGGTGTCCTTAAATACTCTGAGAGGATCAAAAAGGCCATTCAAACACACTATTTCCAGAAGCCTGAGTCAGGTATGTTTACAAATGCACCCCCAGACATGTTACCACATATGCTTAATCACTTGTTCATCATAGAGATGAATAATTGAGTTAATGCACCCTCTTTTTATTCCACATTTTCTGCTTCAGTAGCAGTGTGGATGTAGAAGCATGAGTAACAAACATGTAGCTCTATGTCTGGAGATATTGCTGACAACATTTTAAGCTTATGACTGAGGTATGGCATAGGTCACCTTGTTGTGTAGTCTGTGTTTCTGTGTAAGTGTCAGCTAATTGCTCTCATTTCCCCTTAGACAGTCTCTTTCTCCCTCTCACATTTAATCTGTCTTCACTGTATTGGTGCTACTCCTCTTTACACCTCTCTCTCTCTCTCTCTCTCTCTCTCTCTCTCTCTCTCTCTCTCTCTCTCTCTCTCTCTCTCTCTCTCTCTCTCTCTCTCTCTCTCTCTCTCTCTCTCTCTCTCTCTCTCTCTCTCTCTCTCTCTCTCTCTCTCTCTCTCTCTCTCTCTCTCTCTCTCTCTCTTTGCCGCATGCATTGTCTCACTTTTCCTACAGTTCGTGTAGTCTGTGTATGTGTGTATATGTCTCCCTAATCTGTCTCCCTCTATTCTCCAGAGCCTTTGATAAAGTGCTGATGGCATAGACACATGCAGGCGGCCGGGCAGGCCCATTAGCATGGTAAAGAGATAGTGTATCAGAGCAAGAGATTAGACGCCACAGACTGGGAGCTGTCAAGGTCAAGACCGCACTTGTGAAACAGCCCGCACCACAGAGACGAGGGGAGGATAAAATACAGGGGTTTGAGGAGAGGGAGGGCAAAATCAGATGGGGGAGCAAATAAATGAGAGGAGAGTAAAGCCTGAGTCACAATAAATTAAAAGACCTAGGGCGAACGCACAGAATGAAGGAGAGGAGAGAGAGTGGATGTACAGAAAGATAAGAGTAATTTTCCTGTTTCTTTGTCTCCATCTTTCTTTTAGGATGTGAACCATCTCCAAACATAGTCCTGAATATTCAGCCTGGAGCATCTCACCAAGGACCAGAAGAATTTTCACTGATGCTTGAAGAGGTAGAACATTTTTCTCAAAATTATAAGGGTCACCCGTAAGTAAAGTGATGAGACTTTTTTCATTTTTTTAATAATATATTTTGTCTACTGACGATTATTGACAGCTTCAAAATCACTCTTAAACCAAAGTTGTGAAAATGTGAAGACAAAGCTGTTTTTTTATTCTCTTCACACCTTTTAAAATCCAGATTTTCTGCTCCACAAGGTTCAGAAAATGGTTGGCAGCTGCTTAGAAGTCAATTTATCCAAATTACAAGAAGAAAGACAACGCCAAGAGGAATTTAATTTGAGGATAGATGCTTTCATTCAATTTTACAAGTTTTGGGATAATTTAAATATGGGTTTTGTCACAGAAGTTAATGAGGTAAGATGACAAATTTGTCCTTTTTATGTTTTCCCTGACAAAGGAGGCCCTAAAGATAGCATTTCTATATGAAGAGCTTGGACTGGAGCCTCCTCGGCTTCCACGCAGGAGAAAGAGAAAGCAAGGCCATCAGAAGGGAATAGGAATGAAACCACGGTGACCCGAACATCTGCCACTGCACCCATGACATGCAAGAAGATGCAAAAAAGTCTTTACAATAGGGCTGGAAAATAAGAGCAGACAGAGGCATATCTAACATTAACTTTATTGTATGAGACAGTGTCCTACAAAAGAGACACAAAATTTTTTTTTACAGTCATACTGAAACTGTGATTGTTGACTTGTGTTAGCACTTGTATAAGATATCCAGGACACTCAGGTAGCAGGCCTTCTCTGAGATGTAGCACTCTTTTGAGTGGTTTGGATTGAACCGAGTGCTGGTGGAGTACCGAATCACCAAACCCTCGCCTGCTTCTGTCACGATCCGAGATTTTTGCATCACCTTGCCATTGTTGATGTGGTTTGTGCTCATCAGCACCTCCAGCTGGCCTGGTAACTCATTAACAGAAGAGAAATCCGTGGTTACAGATTCATCACCAAAGTTAAGCACCATGAGAAAAGCTTGGTCGAGCCCGTCCAGCTCTCTGATGTAAGAGAAGACGTGGGCATCAGCATGGACATAGCAGAACCAACCACGGTGGAGGGGGAGCTCTGTCTGACGCAATGTGTTGAGTAAACGGTACTGAGCTATGACAGAGCCTTCGTCTTTCTTCTGAGCCTGGAGATGAAAGATTGGTGAAGGGAAACATTTCAATAAAATAAGACTGAGCAAGCTTTTGGAATTTTATCCAAAATTTACGACTTCTGTACCTCCACATTGACAGTGCTGTAGTCAGGATGGACTGGCAGCCAAGAGGCATTGGATTTAGTGTTAAAGCCTGCGTTCGTATCATCACTCCACTGCATCGGGGACCTTTGAGGATCCCGACTAAGACTCTGCGGGGAAAGGAGAGGAATAATTATGAAACTAAATATACTTCTGATCAGTGTTGTAGTCAATTTTATAAACCCACAAAGCCAAATCTGGGACAAGGTTGGAAATTTGAACGGTATTAAAGTTGAAACAAGTTTTGAGCTTCATTTCAGTCATTCCCGCCTTTAAATATTATTTGAGTAGTGCTCACTGTATTGTATTTTCCAGCTGGGTCTTGTACTTGGCTGTCTGTGATATTAATGTTCTCCATGCCAATCTCCTCTCCGTAGTAGGTGGTGGGTGTGCCTGGAAGGGTCAGCAGCAGCATGTTGATGACCTTAACATACTTTGGGCCAGCGCTGGAGGCAATCCGAGGCCTGTCATGGTTCCCAACCTGATAACAGTGGTAGTAAGAAAAATACAAGGGAAGGTGGAGAGATGAGTGAGGTATGCTGGGTAAAAGAAAACAAGGTAGAAAGGATTGAGAGAAGTGAAGTGAAAAAGTGAGGGATAAGGAACAGATTGATAAAGTAAGAGAAAGCTTGAGACCAGCTGAGGTGGATAAACACTGGCTTTTAGGAGTCACAGAGGAGTAATAGTCAAACAGTCATAGTGTAGTTTGAAATATATTGTCTATAGCTGGCGTGCTCTCGGTGAAGAAGTCATTGAAGCTGACACTAGATACACAGTGAAGAAAAAAACATTACCTGATGGTCACTGATCTCAGAGCAAAAGTTGAGCCACAATATAAAATTGTTATTTATCTTTCTGATGCAAGTATTCAAATAAAATGTGATTTTTTTTTCTAGCTGATAAATGGGATTTAACAAAAGCATGTGACACCCTCTACCTTAAGGTACCATTTTTAAATTTATTACATATTTATTGATATAATTCAAAAATATATGAGCTTTTTGTCCTACTATCATCTTTTAACATCAGCTTGAAAAGATGAAGTTGAGTTACACACAGTCTTTAGTCTTTAAAATTATGAGGAAAATAATTTAGAAACAATATCTAATCAGAGAGTTTATTGAGAATGAAGAGAAGTGCAAAGTTGACTGACTAATCAGTGCTGATTTCATCCTGTTTTCTACCCTAATAGTGAAGAAAGAAAGATCAATGCCATCGGGATCAGAAACATACATCAGTGTCATTCTTCAAGTGGTCAAAACAATAATATAAGAGTCCGGCCGTGATGACTCACCACCCAGTTTGCCCATTTTCCCTTAGGCATGTTGGACATCCACAGGTGGACTAGATGTTGAGCCCACAAGCCAGATGTGTTCTGTGGCAGATCCAGCAGGTAAAAGTTAAAGGGGAAGTCACTTTCCTTGACCTGTGGCGTGCCGTAGTACATCATGGTCTTGTCAACCTCATGGTAATCATATGACTCAGACACCATGAACCTGAAATGCATTAAAAGACATGGTTTCATGTTAACATGGAAACAGATGCACAAAAACATGCAAGACTCAGTTTGTAAATGTATTCCTCGATACATTTTCATAGCCCAAGAATTTGTAAGAATACAAAAGCAATCAGCCAAAATCAGATTTGTGTATTGCACAGTTAGAGTGAGCACAAAAAGCATTTCTTTGTCTCATACAGAATGTACGTTTTTATCACATGACCTAATCAGCCTGTAAGAAAAAGGCATTTCTTTTGTCAGAGAGAAACTGCTTAAAAATGTCAGAAGTGTGATGTGAAACAACTCAAAGGAGAGTTGAAATCAGTTCAAACATGCAAAACAGGTTCATTAAAACTCTTTTGCATCGTATCACCACCTGTATCTGCCAGGTTCCCTGCTGTAGGATTCCATCTCAGCCCTCCACCCCCTTAACAGGTCATGCAGGCCCAGCTGACTGGTGGTGTAGTCATGGTAGAGATCCCACTCTGTAGTTACTTCTTCCTGGAGTGTTAGGGATTAAAAAGAGGATGATGAAATTGACCTTTCGTGCCTTGCTTATGTCTCAAAGAACAACAGGCTTAAGCAAAAACTAAGTCTCAGTAGAATAAACCAAATTCAATTTAACTCTGTTTTAATGATAGACAATATTCTGAATATGTTGTGAGAGTGTTATTCTGGTGAGAGAAACAAACACAGAGCAAAATACAAACTACAGGTGAGCAGCGCTGACTCAAATGCTGACATGCTGCCACAAGGGCCGAGAGTAACCTTTTGGCTGGTCCAAAACTGTCCCCTCATCACCATCACAATAGTGATAACACAGATGCCTGCTCTCTCATGATTGGCTGAATCATTTTCAAGGCTGCAGCAAAGTTCCCAGTTAACACTCATGGTCTCATAAAGGTCAATGAGTAATGCCTGATAAGAACTCTTATTATGCTTGAATTTTATGACCACGTGCGGCATGAGTTATTGCTTAACAAAGCTGTGGTTTACTTTGAGGTTGTGCTGACCTCTCAGTCACTTATGTATTTGGTATGTCAGACTTTTCTCCCACTTAGCAGTTTATCATGTTTGTGGAAGCAGTTGCACTTGAGAGTGCAGAACAAATGATTGACCACTGACAAGTCATTTCTTGTGTAAATGTTAGAAAATAAAATCACTGTTCATTTATACACCTGGATTTGACGGCAGTAACTGCTAACTATGTTGAACTCTGATCTCTAGAGTAAAGAAGGATCATTGAAGCTGAGTAAATAAAAAAATCTTTCATTTAACAGCGGGGTTAGACCAATTATCCAACTGATTATCAGTGTTTTATCTTCCTGATTGAAGATTATTTTGACAGATAAAAAAGTGCTCTATTTTGCCTCCACTGCTTGTGTGTCTTCCCCTCTTGATCTGTTTTCACTCACTACTCTGTCTCCTCTGGCATCCCACCCACAACACTGTCTGACTGGTGTGATGCCACATGATTTTGACAACAGTACTGTAAGAGTAACTGTTTAACTTTAACACATGTGTATGATGTTAAAGTTACAGCTTTGATTAAATATTTGCTAAAAGAAATTTGTTCTGAAGTTTTGTGTTGTAAAAAATTGACCCTCAAAAACTGATATCAGATTTCCTGATATATGTTTTATGGTCTTGTTGTTATTAGAGCAAATCATAGTAATCTCTTAGATGTTCTTCAGCATATAAAAAAAAAGAGGCAGTATCAAATGTAATCTCAATTTACACATTCAGGTAATGAGTAAGTTAACTTTCCTCTGGAAAAACTAGTGGGCTGCACCAGGTGTTGTAAATTTAATTTATCTACAGTTTTCTCATGACTTATTGAGTCTATATTATCTACATTATGTTTTTTCAGTGGTTTTCTCTTTTTGCCTCTTCTGTCCAACCGACAGTCCACAACCCTAAAACTCAACTACACAACAGACACAATGCGGAAGACGTCAAAGCCATCTATCCTGGCTTGTTATGACAGATAAAACCACGAGGCAATAGCCAAACTAGAGGGCTCTGAATTTTAATTTGACCTAAAGCTGACCTGAAGCTCAGCCTCACACAAGTTTAAAAGGGTTGGTTACATTATAATCAGATCAGACACTCCTTACCATCATTTATTGCCATGTTACAGACAAAATGGAGCATCATCAAGATACAAGGCATTCAAAGTGAGGAGGCTTGGTGTGATGCATGTTGAGGTAGCACTCACTGGTGGTTTGTTGGGGTCCACCTGGGGTTCATCCCTCAAGTGTGCAGCCTCCAGGATGTGCTTCACTGCATCCATCCTGAAGCCATCCACCCCCTTCTGCAGCCAGAAGTGAATAATATCCTACAGAAGCAGAATAAATGTTAAGAAATGGGATTATTGGGACACTTGGCTCTTTTAGTTTTACAGGAGATTAGCCAGGATACAGAAAGAAAATACTGATAAAGAGTGTGTGATTACTTTAACTTACTACTATTTCTTTCCGAACATTAGGGTTCCTGAAGTTCAGATCTGGTTGCTCTTTCAGGAACTGATGCAGGTAGCATTGGCCCCGAACTTCATCGTAAGTCCATGATGAGTTCCCAAAAATACTCACCTGAGAGAAACAAGGAAGGGGTAGCAAGATCAGGTATAAGGAAGAGCAGACAGTCAGATGCAGACAATCCCAGCATACACCAGTTCAAGTACCAACCCAATTATTTGGCTTTGGTCCGGTTGCATTGCAGTCAGTCCAGACATAGTAATCACTGTATTCAGGATCTCTAGTCCGGCTCAGGTTGAACCAGCGGTGACGGTCACTGGTGTGATTAGGAATGAAATCCATGATCAGCTTCAGACCTGGCAAAAACAGAGAGATAAGGATAAGCCAAGACGAGCACCCTGTCATTGTCATAACAGAATACCTGGCACCAAATCTGTATCCAAAAACTTCAGACCTTTATTGTGCATTTCAGCCAGCAGATCATCGAAGTCCTGCATGGTTCCAAAGAGTGGGTCAATGTCACGAAAATCTTCCACATCATAGCCAAAGTCCTTCATAGGAGAGCGGTAGAAAGGACTGATCCAGATTGACTTGATGTTTAGGTACTGAAAGTGATCTAGCTGTTGGAGAACACCTAGAAGACCAGAGAGAGCGAAGAGATGGTGAGTTGGATACAGAAGGTCTCCGGCCAAGACTAGTCTGAATGTGCATGCATGTCAATCATATGGTACTGTATTACACCACATATTTGGGCTGTTAGTTGTTCTGTCCAGCGTTGGAGCGGCTAAATCCAATGAACAAGCCCAACTAATAATAATAATAATGCATCAGATTTCATATAGCACTTTATCAGAGACCCTCAAAGTGCTTTACGTTGGATAAATCATTCATTCGATCACACAGTCACACCTTGGTGGTAGTAGACTACCTTGGTAGTCAAGATGCCCAGGGGTAGACTGAAGGAAACGTGAATGGCAGTCTGTGCCTATTACCTCTCTGACCACCACCACACAACACTCACAATCATACACTAGTGGAGGACACACACACCAGGAGCAAGATATGTTAAGCGTCTTGCCCGTGTACATAACGAACAGACACGGGATAGGGGGGAATCGAACCGCCAACCTTCCTGTTGTTGGATGACCGCTCTACCGCCTGAGTTACTGCCGCCCAAGTAGTTTAAAAATCGGGTCAAATTACACCGGATACGGGCTTGTCTTACCTTTCAGGTCACCAACTCCGTCTCCGTCTGAATCTTTGAAGGACCGTGGGTAAACCTGGTACACCGGGGAGGCCTGCCACCAGCTCAGACAGCCCGGCGACAGCGCGATCACCGTGATAGTGAGCGCGACCAGAGCCAGAGTGCAGGCCACCGTGAGCCAGAACAGGATCTCACGGGGAACTCGGTACCGGGCCTGTGTGGAGTACAGCAGCAGCACCTCCTTAGGCATGCCGGCGTACGGTTTGATCTGAGTGTACTCCTCCTCGGTCGTCTCCAGTTTGACTGCTGAGGACTCCCGCGTCTCAACGGGGACGGCGTTGCTGTTGTCCGCCACAGACTCCTCGTCATCCTGAAAGCCCGGGTTCCTGGTACATTCCCCGAGCTCCAGACTACCGTTGCGTCTCGGTAAACTCATGCTGGTAGGAGGAAAACTTTGCACTAACACGAGTGGATCAGCTTCTTACAAGACTGAGTGAGTCACTGAGCTGCAAGAAGAAATGTAACTGTGTTCAGAGGAGGCCAGAGTACACCCCACCTCTCTCTCCTTCTCTCTCTCTCTGAGGAATGTGGGAAAGTGGAGACTTGGTTGGGAATGGATTAACATTTCATCTTGTAGTGGAGGTTGGGGGTAATTTAAGCTACACATGTTTCAGTATAAGATTCCCTGATATCACTCAAATACCATATGGCAGCAATTTAAAAACTGTACAAGTAAAAGTTGCCTTCATTTCCCTTAATGGACTTAGGAATCAAACCCATATACAACCCCAATTCAAAACAGATGAGAGACTTCAATGTTACTAAATGCATAAAGATTTTTGAAGATTATGTAAACCCCACATTTGATTCAAAACATGGCAAAGACAACATATCAAATGTTGAAACTGAAAAAGTGATTTTGAAGTGTAAATGCTTAATTTGATGCAATCAACACATCTGGAGACAGTTGGGGCAGAGGCACATTTACCATTGTGCTGTGTCATCTCCTCTTAATATTAGAAAACTGAGGAGACCAAGTTTGGGAGTTTGTAAGGTCTTCCTTGAAATGAGGAATTGCTTTGATGGTGGAATATGCAGCTCCGAAACATAATAATACTAACTTTATTTATATAGCACTTTTAAAAACAAGAGCTTACAAAGTGCTTTAAGATGCAGGAAAACAAGTAAGATAAAAACAACATAACAACAAGAGAACACTTGTGGGAAATGACACATTACTGGCAATAAAGAAATAAAATAAAAATTGGTGGAAGACATAAAAGCTTTGATGAATGTCACATGAGCTGAGAGGTCATTAAATTGAAGACATTACAACAAAGACATTATAATAGCCCATGATACCCAGCTAACACAGGAACCCAATGACAAAAACCTGAGACCAAGGGGACTATTATAAAACATCAATGAGAAGTGTAAAAGGTTTTAAAGAAGACAAAATCACTTAAAGCAAGTCTATAAAAATTAGTTTTAAGATGTGATTTAAAAGCAGCGACTGTTTCTGCACACCTGATCTCCTCAGGGAGGTTGTTCCAAAGTCGAGGGGCCATGATGGAAAAGGCCCTGTCACCTTTAGTTACAAGTCTCGACTTTGGAACAGCCAGGAGAAAGAGATTTCTGCGTAATAGTGGAAAGAAGTGAGTTACAGCAATCCAGGCGGGCAAGATGAGGGTGTGAATGACTTAAACACTATATGTTGTTCAGCATAAATGGTGCTTCAGTTTATGACCAAAGAACAGTTTTTTACCTCCCCGTAATCCATCTGAAAAGAGCCAGGACCTTAAACTGCCACCGGTATTTCAAGTCTGCATTCGAGGATACAGCAACAAGTTGTTCAATGAAAATGATTTTTTAGTCGTTTTGAGCCCATGTAGTGATTTCCACTACAGAGTCATGCCTGTTTTTAATGCAGTGACATGTGGGGGCCAATACATCACAGCCATAAAGTACTAGCCCTACCCGTTTGTGCACAGATATCCACATATTCTCTTTTTAGAGACATTAAATGGACATGATTATATGAACTGGTGTAAACAGACTAGTTCACACTCCAGTCCACTTGTCTACTCTAATTGCCAAAGAGGAAAAGATTAGATTAATACAGTATCTAAACATATGACAGCACATTCTTCTTATGGCCCATACTTGCTTTCTTTGTCAACCCTTTTAATATTTTGGAATACACTTTGAAAAAATGGGAAAAAAGACACCAAAAGAGGACAAACTGATGGTACACCTGAAAAAATGAAAGCAGACTGAACCAATTAAACTTAAAACCCTCTTTTATTGACGTTTATGTTCACTGTATGGTCTGTAACATCACAATAGCATACGGGAAAATTAGTACAGGAAGAAGAGATGGTGAAAATTTTGTGTTTCTGAAACCTCACCTGCCTTTTGGTCTCCTAGAAGTGGAAAGGTGACGGTAAGTGGGTTATAAAGTACTCTGAAATGAACACCAGCTTATCATTACTGCATTCTGTCTCCAAAACAGAACAAAATAAAACAGCATTTCTAGAAGAACTAAAAAGAGCAGGAATAAATTAAATTAAAAAATCACCGCCGTCACACACGTGTCTTACAGTTTGTGTGGAAAGAGTAAGCAGGGAGGACAGAGGGAGGCGGCAAAGATAACAAAGGTTCAGGAATGTAATGTTTTCATCTGTTACTAAAGTCTCACCAGGATTCTGTGGTCAAGGTCATACACAATGTGAATCATCTGAACTTATCATATCTAGTAACTGAAGCAACATGAGGTTGTTTTTTTTAAATGAAGACATGATGAGAAAAGCTCCAAACGTAGCTTGTTTTCAGTCCATGCAGTGGAATCAGTGTGAATAATGAAAATATACATTCAAAAAACAAATAAATGTTTCTCCCTCCTGTTGTTCCTCTCGGAGCCCAGTGTTTGAAATAGCTTAAACATAAACCTTAACTTGAGGGCTGTGTTCAGTGCAATGAAACCCAACACAGTGCAAACAAGTTTAGACATGCAGGAGTCAACAGTAGAATCTGATTTTAAGACCAAAAATGTTAAAAAACAAAAGTTGAGTATTTTGTGGTTGATCGGCTGAGGTATTACAAGAAAAAGCATGTTGTCTCCCCCGTTGTGTTTCACCACACTGAACGTGCCCACGTTACCCCCAACCCCCTAGTAAGTACATCTCCCACTCACACATAAAATGCACTCCTCCCTCAATCACAAAACATGCACAGTTAATAGAAATCCTAACCCCCTCCCAATCCCTCCACCACAAAACAAAACAAGAAAAAAAAAAAATCAATCAGCCCATTAAAACAACTCAACTGCAAAACAACTACACATTCAAGTACCTATTTGTCATATGGCACAAAGAGCAAGTGTACCACGAGGACAGAAACCTGCCAGCAAACTCTTGTTAGGCTGTTTCTCTTTGAAATACTGCCACTTCAGAAGAACACAATGACTAAACCAGTGAATGATTGAAAAAAAGTGTATATTACAGTTTTGTATACGCTACTTGTAGTGCATCTACAGAAGAGAGTACACATGCAAAGTATGTGTATTCACTCCAAGAGAGGGGGCTGTTTTAACAATTATTTCCATCTGTAGTTTCAGGTATTAGTGCTTGCTTTGACCAAATGAAACAGACTCCAAGTTAAACCCAAGAGTCTAAACCTCAGATTTTCTTAGCCATCATTCTGTGCCTTTGGGGATAAGTCTATAAAAGGTAGCTGTAAAACAAAATGAAGAACAGGCACAGCTCTGGGACTCCTCTGTCCTGTAGAGACCCCCCACAATTTATACAGTGAATAACCTACTTCTCCCTCCCAGTCTGCTGTTCAAGGTTTATTTTGTGCTCCCCTTCTAATTTCCTTATCCATCTATGAAAGGACTGCAGCCAAGCTTCTCTAAAAGCCGTAGATATCAAAACATTATAAAATTATTTTTTATGGAATAGTTTCAATCTAAACAAAAAGGCATTTCTCTTTCTTTAAATATGATACTCAGGAGATAGAAAAGGCAGGTTTTAGCAGAAGCAGGGTTGTGCTGAGGGATGAAAGAAGAGAAAGGAGAAGACATAAAGTCGAAGGAAAGGAGGAAGGAGAGCTCCACAAACGGTCTTTGGAACGCTGCTGTGTGGAAACACTGTGTGCGCAACTTCTTTTAATTCAAATTGTCTAAACGCAAACACACAGACCACACTCACATTAGGCCACAATGAGAACTAGGGCTGGGAATTAAGATGGAACAAATCAAAATATATATCAATCTATATATATACGAATTTAAAATATCATTTCTATCTTTCTACCTCTCACACAGCCAGGCTGAAAAGCTTACCACTCTGGCAATGCCTGATGTTACAAATACTAGCCGAGTGTCTTCTGTCGCAGAAAAAGGCAGGAAAGCAAAAAGAGCAAGAGACAAAAGGGAGAACAGAAAAAAAAACACCTTTTGATTAATTTCCTTTTAGAGACAGAAGGATAGAAAGTGAACAGGAACATGCAAGAAGAGTCGACTGTCTCTGTGGTAATCCTTTTCCTGTTTCAGTTTGGACGCCGTACGAAGAAGCCAAAAAAGATTTTTGATGCCAGACAGTTCTCTTGAGGAGATCTAGGAGGCTCGCTCAAGGACCCTGTGGAGTACCAGTAATGCCAACATTCCAAGCTTGCCTGAACTGGGGAGCTTGAGGTGTGTGGTAGTCTCAGGCTTGTGTGGTCGATTGGCTGCCAGTCAGCTAATTTATCAGAACAAATAATGCCAAAAAAAATGAAGCCAACTTCAGTTCAGTGTTTCATCCGTTAAGTAGCAGGTCTAGTAGTAATAATTTGCTGGGCAGCCGCTGAGTTGTGTTGAGTTGTCCTCCTTTCTCTCTCAGTTCTGAGACAGGCACCAAAGCGTTCACAGCAGCGTCTCCATCAATCCACTACAAAATCCACCCAAAAATGCCAAAAAAAAAAAAAAAAAAAAGGACCAATAGAAATCTGTGCTTGTTAGCCTCTTATCTAATCTCTATATTGTAATAAGTAGCTCTGCTTTCAGACCGTCAATGCAGTTTCATTTTCTCTGCTTAAGTCTACAAAAGCTCCGTTTAGCAGTCCTCCACATTGAGAGAGTTTTTTTTTTTCCTTATTTTGAAACCTGAATTTCAGCTTTGATTGATCTCTTAGTGTGGGTGAAAAATCAAAGGACCCCAGAGGAAATCAAAAGGTGACCATGGATGTGATCTTGTGTGGAAAAGTGGTCCTATTTATATGTTTTCCTTTTGGATCAGGCAGTTGTGCTGGGAAGCTACCAGTGGCACTCCAACTCTACTCCGCTCTGCAGGAGGAGAGAGAAGAGAAGGGGGAGAAAAAGAGGAGAAGAATGGGACAACAGAGAAAGGGGAAAGAAGTATAGAGAAAGAAAACAGGAGAAAACAAAGAGAGGTTAAAAAGGATAAAAAAAAGAGGGTCACAGTTATCAAATTTAAGAGCAACACTGACAGTCGCATTAAATGGTTTTGTTTTCAAACCTGGAATTCCAAGGACCACTTTTTCTCTGATCAACACAACCAAACATAAAGGGAAAAGGCAGATTGGACAATGTAGGCCAGGGCACTCTTTGAACCTCAGTGAAAAGGTTCTTTCTGCAAATACGCCAACAGAACAGTCCCAAGGACTCCAGTCTTATCAAAGAGAGGCACACAGAAATGCAGACCGCTGTTTACTTTACGCGTGCACATGTGGAAAGACTGCAGAAGAGAGGGTGCATGCGTGTGGGGCAGGTGCATGCGTGTTTGTGTGTGTGTGTGTGTGACGTGAGGAGAGGGACAGACAGGACCAGAAACAATGATCATTCATCCTCATCAAACCTGGACAGTCAAGTCTGCACAAAGACGCCTTCAAACTTTAAATGGAGCTCCACATGCTAGAAAGTACATCAGAGCAGGGAGTAAAGACCGATGAAGGACTGACAAGAGGGTATGTGCCACTCACATGCCTGTAAGAATGAGTGTTTGTGTGTGTGTGGATGAGGAGTTGGAAGAAGAATGGAAGAGGGGTGTCACAGTTATATATGTCATCACTTACCAAATGAAACAGGAGGGCTGCGTTAATCAGAGGGTGGACACACAGTTAGACAATTTGATATATCGCCTCTTAACTTGTGTGTTTAAAGTGTGTACTCACCAAAGTGATATTTTGGTCTCAACATGAAAACTAATCTATATGCGGTATCAAAGAGGAGCACGGACGTGAGTGAGAAGCTTCGCAAAAGAACCATGAGACGATACAAAGGGCCACGTTTTTCTGATCACACCTTCATTCAGGAAGGATGTTGTTTTGATACTTAGAATGTTATTGTGTGACTAACTTGCACTCATAAAATGCAGCCTAATTTTACATAAAAATTACATAAAGAGATGATGGCAAGGCACAAATCTGTAGCTGGCGAAACAGGTGTTGTGACCCCCGAAAAACACTAAATTATCATTGGTGGCATTAATTCAACAACTTCAACTTGAGTTAAGAGTTTGCTGAAGACTGTCTTGGCTAAAGCGACTTTTCTCTCTGGTCCCCAGACTCAAATGCATCACGAATGATAAATATGACCTGTGAGCATTTTTAAAAAGAATCTGACTTCAACTGCACCATGATGTTATTACAGAGATTTTGATCCTTTATGGCAGTGTAATGAAAATGTAATCTGGTCTAACAGATTCATTATGCTGTATTTCAGTAACATTATTTCCCTTAAATGCTTTTATGGCCTTCATTGAATTTATTGAGTTATTCTATTGTTTTAAATGCTTATATATCTTCTAAGTAATTTCATTTCTTCTAATGGTTTCCAACTTTCTCTATGGGTTTTATCATTTATTGCTCCTTTTCCCTAACCACATTTAATTACATATGTAATTTTTCATTTGTGGTTCTCTTGGTCTTGATTCTTGTTGGGGTCTTGTGTTACTTGGGTTTTGATGCTGATTGGACTGATCATGTTGGTTGGATTTGGATCAGCTGGTGTCTGAGGTCTTGTCTGCTGTTGGGTTCATTTGTTGTTTGACGCAATAGTGGGGCAAAGCTATTCTGCCTCTATTCCCCATCAAAGGTAGTTACAGAGAACTAATGGGGGGAAGATGGTGGTGACATACGGTGTTGAAGCCTGCTATGCAGAACAGCACTCTATGTGAATGCCTGTGTGTGTGTGTGTGTGTGTGTTATAGTGGAGCTTGGTTCCAGGGCAGTTGTGTGTAAGAAGTTATTATAGACCCCATTTGATCTCTGAAGGTGTGCTGTAGTATCTGGAACCAAGACATCAGCACCAGATCCTTTAAAATTGGAATTTTAATGCAATAACCTCCATGAATTACACTAAAATCTGGACATTGACTCATGTTCCTTTAGTTAACCTTCTCCCATTGCTCCTTGATCCAGTTCTGATGCTTACTTGCTCAATGTAGGCGTCTCTGGCATGGACAGGGAGGTCAGGTGGACACCTTAACTGATCTGCAGCTATCCCGGTTCATACACATCAAGCTGTGTCAGAGCTAGGATTGAAGTTTTTTTTTTTGGATCCCAGTAGCTCTTCTGATGGATTGGACCACATGGCCCAACCTTCACTTCCCACCTGTATCAATGAGCCTTCGACACCCAGGCCACCCAAGTCATGGGTTCACCAATTTTCCTTCCTTGGACCACAATGACAAATCCCTAGGAATGTCACCTTTCCAAACATCAACTTGAAACAAGTCTCCAACATGACTTGCTAATCTTCTACTATATTCAATCCAGAGGTCATAATACTTGGGCTCATCAGTGCGGATTTCCCTCTTTGTTAATAAGTGACACATTTACAACATTGTTTGCATTTGCTACACCAATAACACCGAAAGCTTAGGAGATGCAAGCCAGCCAGCTGTCATAGAAACACACAGCAACATAAAGATGGAAAGACTCTGTGATCAGAGCTGTGAGATTAACTTGTCACAAGTTTTGGCAGTAAGAAAGAAAAAAAGAAATTTGAGCCAACACTGTCCACTCAAATATTTGGTCTCCTTCTTAAGTCTACTGTCACAAACCTTTGGACTGCTTTTTAACAATATGGTGGATGCCAATGCCACAATGAGTCATATGTTTGTTAAATCAATGCCCCCTTACTTCTACACCTTACAAAATGTCAGTCATAGTTATTCTTGTGTTCAGGGAGGAGGTGTGCAGGAGACAAATACATTAACCAGAGAAAACCCCCTTATAGATACAGATATCAGACAGTTTATACAGAGAGAACTCTCACTTGTTGTGAAGTAAAGAGAAATTTATTATGGCTCCTCAAAAAGATTTAGCAAGGCCATACTGTGCCACATGTGTCGCTCAATCTGGACAGGAAGGTATGTCTCATGCATTGTGCACTGAAAAAGCAGATATGAACTGTAATCTGCGGGTGTGGTGGCTCAAAGGTTTCTCTGAAGTCAGTTATTCTACATCTGCAGTGGTTTTTGAATGTGAAAACACAAGATACAAACTGGGGCCTGGTTAAGTGGATGGCATTATTCCACAGGACTGAAACTTTCTGTGCAAGACAGCATTTATCTCAGGTCTGTCACAAAGTCTTAAACTTTTAGATTTTTTTTATTGGAGTTTTGAAATGGCCAAAGACAGACTAAGCTAGAGTGCAGTTACTGATACCCACCCCATCTTCCTCTTTGCATGGGTTTAGGCGATTGTAAACTGCTTCGATAACACTCCGTCTGCAAGAGAACACGGAAAACACATACAGTGAGGTCTTTGTAGCCTTTCACTTCAATCTGTAAATCAAATCAAATCGAATGTTTGCAAGAAGAAGAGGTGTAGCTGTCTAGACAGGAGAAATACTTTGCATAAACTGTAAAGACCGCAAACCTGGAAAATGTATTCTTATTCCAGGAAAGGATGATGGTCCAAAAAACTGGCAGAAATGATTTCTTTGGCTAATCACACGTTTTAAATAGCAGACGGGACAAATTATTCTGACAAAGTTTAATCAACTCCTTGAACTTTCCATTTGCTTCGACGACAGAATGTACTGATCACGTTTTTGATAGGTAGGGGTCCTTACTTGCTAGCGAGACCACCCCCTGGTGGCAGTGTGGGCATGCCACTGTCAGTGGAAAGGTTCCTCATCACTGTTGCCAAGTCTGGAAACGCCTCCTCCTCTGGCAGGGACAGCATCTCTAAAACAACGTAAAATTCTTACATTTTTCATAGAGGTGTTATAAAACCAAAAGTTATTTTCATCATAACTGCATGTTATTAAACGAGTCGATATAAGCATAGCTGGTGGTCGCTAAGACTGAAAAGAGAAGAGAAAAAAATGACCCAAAAAATGCAACAACCAGAGAAAGAAAGAAGAAAACCACGCAGGTGAATCTATGGAAATGATCGGGGGTTTGAAACAGAGAAGGGGAGATGGTGACACAAAGAAGCCTGCAACTGAGCTGAGAGTGGCACTAGGCCAGATCAATGTTCAGCCAGAGCATTCCTCTCCCTCTTTCTTTCTATCCTCCAGTATTGGACAGCACCTGAAGCCAAAGATCTACTCAGCCTCAACAAAATGAAAAAACTCATACTGTTTAAAATGCTTTACATCCGTTCAGCAATTATTCACTGAATATAGAGCTGGGGAAAAAAACGGCCTCTGATTTCAATTTGATTCAGCTCCCCCAATCAAAAAAACACCATAATTGAGAATGGACAATATTGTGCCGCCTAATGTATCTCACTCATTTTGTCCAATACAATCAAGCTCACCCAAGAGCAGAGCATGTGCTCTGACCCTCCCTTCAAACAAATCTCACTATAATGTCAACATCATGAGGTGTGCAACAAAGTTTGGGAGCAAAAGGAAGTTGAAAATTTAATAGTGGACTGCTGTAACTTTAAAATGTTACACTACAGCCAAACAAACTATCATGCAGCCACAGTTGGAAGGAGGGGAGCAGGGAGAGATGCAGCTGGTTAATTATTAGTGTCTGAAAAGCCAAAGGACCGTGTGAGCATGACAACAGAGGGGCTGGAGTGATCACAAGTGTGAACAAGCCTTAGGGAGCTAACATTTATGATGTTACAAAACTGCAGACTTGAAAGTCTCAGATCCTTTAGCTTTTCATAACACAATATCAAATTCCAACCCTACAAAAAGTCAAAGTGAAACTTAGTTCAGTATAAAATGGAAATAAAGAAAATCTAAAAAAAAAAAAAATAAGGAGACGAAGAAGAACTAAAGCACAGTCACTTTTAATACTGTTACATGTTTTTGTTTTTTTAATTTATAGTTATCTGTGCTGTGTGTTACATTGTCCCACATCTCATAAAGCATTTTACCAAAACCTGGGACCACTGACCAGCCCTTGTTCTGTACAATACAACAGCTGCCAGCTAGAGAGCTTACTTAACCAACACAGACAAAAAAAAATTGCACTGTGTTCATCATCCTGAGCAAAAAAATGTAAACTGTGAAAGAAAAAAAAATCAAAGGGGAGCAAAACGTTCACCTAAACAAAATAGAGAACGCTTGAGTAACAGAAGGACGAGCAATGAGCAATCACAGGGAGCAACAGAAGAGGGGGAAACAAACAGGGAATCAAGAGAGGAGATGCCTGCTAAAATGGAAAAGGAGGTCATGATGGTGTCATTCCTCTGCTGTGAGCCGGAGCAAACTTGGCTGGAGGTTAGACAATAGAGAGTGCCTGGGTCAGTCAGTGGAGAAAACATGCATACAGATATAATACAGCGTTTTGGCTGAAGAGGGACCCTGTGGCTCCAAGAAAGAAAAGAAAAACTCAAGACAAAGGAACATCTTCCCTTACTGCACCTATCGAAAAATGGTATTGAGTGTATTTTGATTTCAATTAAAATGTACAGCCACAGGAGACAAAACCACACTGGTTCAATAAAATACTTAAAAACAAATCAGACAAATATCCTTGAAACAACTGGAGTACTTCAGAGCGGTTTTCAAAGGCACTGAAAGAGAAACTAAGAAAATAAGCCATTCCTCAGTCTGACTTTGTCTCTACATACATTAAACAATGGCTCTCTTTCTCTACACATCCATTCTCACCTTCCACTCGGGACTCCAGATACTTGTTGAGTTCGGCGTCTTTCCTCATGGCTTCCTCTGACACTTTGGGAGCGCTGGCCAAGCACACTAACACAACACTCATGTTATCCCGACTCCCCTGTGACGGACGTGGGGAGACAGAAACAGGAAAAAAAAAAAGCATAAAGGAGAAAGAGTCATAAGGGGTGCTGAAAACATATTAGGGTAAATTTCCTGCACATACTGACTGCGAATGAGCAGTTTACACTCACACTACTGAGGCAGCGTCATTACAGATGGCAACAAGTTTAATACTGAAGACATAAATGAGCCTTTCTCTATATTTTTTCCCCCAACTCACCCCAGCTGCTTTCATTCAAGCCATCGGGCAGCAAGAATTAAACACTTCAAACTTAACAGCTTGTGCTTGTGCATTCCTCTCATTTTTATTTTGTCCTTTCACAGGCTCTGCGCTCAGTTGGGTAACACTTTACTCATGCATCTTGGATGTTTAAGCAGCTAAAAAATAGTTTCTGCTCGAGTGGTAAAAGGCTCTTCAGGAACTTTATCTAAATTTATGCCAAGTTTAAGACATTTATTTGGAACAGAGAAATCAATGAAGCCTCTTATTGACCAAACGTTTTAAAAATTGACACTAAAAATGACATCCTCGTAAGACATCAGTTAAGTCACAGTAAAAGCACACAAAATATCACACTGAAAACAAATCCGCTCATACCTTGTGGAGGCAGGTGTCCACCACTTCATTGCAGACTCTCTCCAGGTCATCAGACACCTCGAGTCTAGATTTCACAAACTCGCAAAGCTCCTCGTTGGACATGACATCCCAGATGCCATCGCACGCCAGCACCACAAACTGATCCTGCTCTGGGGCCCGAACCATCTCAAACACAGCTGGTTCTGGACTGACCAGCTGTTCTGTGGGACCTTTTCCTTCCACACATTTGTAATCATAGTCCCCCAAGGCTCTGGATACAGCCAGAGACCCGTTGACTCTCTGGATCATCACTGAGCCGCCTGCGTTCTGGATGCGCTCTCTCTCTCGTGGATTGCAGGGCTTGTGGTCAAGTGTTGAGAAGCACACGTGTGAATTGCGATACAGGACAGCCCGAGAGTCCCCACAGTTTATGAAGAAGAAATGTTCTGGGGACACAAGGACTCCCACCGCTGTAGAGCCACTACGGTCCATGCCATTGCGGAGGTCAGAGGAGCTGCGCATGTGCTCATCAATCCTCAGGAAACCTGTCCGGATCCCAGATTTTACAGCCTCTACTGCTGGAGGAATGGAGGCTGGAGGGTCGTTGGTGGAGGTATCTGAACCTGTCTGGGAGCCTTGAGATGCCCCAGCCTCTACGCTGGCACTGATAATGTGTTTCAGAAGGTGCTTAGAACAGTAGTTAGCAACTCTTGATCCAGCATGACCGTCATACACAGCAAAGAAGGACCACTCCGTCATACCGGGAGCAGGAAGTCCCAACACAGCTGTGTGAGCATCCTCCATCTCCACCCGCCAGCCCTGCATGGAGCTGAGCCCAAAACGAAGGCCATTTCCCTCACCGTGCGAGTTGTGTTTTTCTGTCTTGGGTTTGTCAAGGAACGCACCCATGACTTGACCCTGAAAAGAACCACAAAGACACAGGACAAAAAAAACACAATTAAACAAAAAAAATGTTCATGAATTAAACAGTTTTGTCGGTTTCCACTCCAAACAAGGACACATGACCAGAGCTGTGATTATGCTGACCAAACAAAGTGTAAAATGTAAACCTCTTAAATTGCATGGTTTGATAAATCATAGAAAATCCTTTAACTAATGCTCCACCTCTTTCCTTGTCCAAGAAATATATCTGCTGAAATTCCATGTTGAGAAGTTGTAATGTTATGCTGCGTTCGAGTTACCTCAGAAATCAGAAGTTTGAGTTGAAAATGACGTCACACCAAAGTCCAAAAAAAAAAAGCAAAACCGGAGGCGGAAACAAGATATCTACATCTACGAAAGTTATTTTAGCAATTGCCTTCTGCGAGTATAAGGCAGGCGATAAAATAACTTTCTAATAACTAATTTTGCTTGTCTCAAAATCAAGTGTGATGTCATTTTCAGCTCCGACACCTGACTTCCGAGGTAACTCGACACAGCATTATTTCAATGCCCTTTGTGCAGTTATTTAGAGAACTACTTTTTCAAGTTCAGCAAAAAAAGCCAAACCTCTGTGATCTACTTCCTTAACTTTGTTTCCCAAGAGGGTTTCATCATTGTCCCCTAACTGTTCCTTGCTGAGTGACTAGGATCTCCGTTTCTATTGGACAATGTCAGAGGCTCTTGACAGTCAACTACTGTCTCGTATTTGAGAGCCAAGATGCACAGGAGCTCAAACTCAGCCGGCTGAGCAGGGGAGTTTTTCATAACTCTACAAAAAGAAAAACAAATATTGCTCAGTCAGTTTGGCAGACGATAAAACACACCAGGCACATATGTATCATCAACTTAATAAGTTTAAACAGATTCAACCAACAGTTGATAGTTTATTACCACTTCCAGGAACAGCAAAGCCACTTCTTATGTTTGAAATGATTGAGTAGCTCCTTTGAAAGCTTCTCTTGCCAGCCAGAATTAGCCACTGAGAGCATTAACAAACTCCACACAGTGATAAAGAGGATGTTTTATCAGCTCATAATTGCACCTGCATTAGCTAAATGTACAGGAGCGCCAGGCTGCTTTACAGAAAGAAGCAGTTCTGTATGTTAATTGATTGTATAATGTAAAACCATAGCTATTGATTGCTTCACTACCCAGTAGCTATTTGCTCTTGGTAATTGCTCTCTTACTTTGTATCTCAATATCAATACAAGCCACTCCGATGTAAGCTGTGGACTTGGGTCTGTTCTATTTAGTTTGAACGCATGATCAAGGCTAAAGGTTGAATTCTATGAACATTGAAGCTGAGGCGGCTCATATTTCTGTTAATCTGTGATTTAAGGTCACAGGTAGAAGCGTGGTCAAGGTTTTATGAACAAACTTCAAGCAAATACAAACTTAGAAGCGGTCAAGTAGAATGAGGTCTATCCCCCATCTACAAATGAGTTCAGACTTCGCATGGCTTTGAAAATGTATAAAGTAACTGAAAGGGACCAAAAGGACCAGCCTAGATTTACTGCATCAACCTCTTATTTTACAGACGGATGATCATATTAATTGATTCAAAAGTGTTTTTAGTTGGAGTCTGTTAGATTCCAAATCGTTCCAAAAAAGTTCTCAATTTTGACCCAAAGTGTTTCATTACTACTGTAAATGCTTATTGGTTCCATATTTCATTCCCCAGCCTCATTGGCGATTAATAAAAGGTGCCCCAAAAAGACATTTTCAGTCGACCCTCATTTGTTCAGCATGGCAGCATGTAAACAAAAAACAGAGATGCTTCTGTGTTATCAAATATCAAAGAGCTGATGCACACCACTTGAGTTATCACCTTGACGACAAAAAAATCTGCACATGATCATTTTAATAATGGAGAAGATTTAAAAGTCAAGCACAAATCAGCAAACCAAATTATTTGGTCTTTTATCTGAGCTGCGACCACATACACACTTTGCGCCAAAACAAGCCACATTTAACTCTCAGTTACAATACCCACAATGCCCTTATGGTCAAACACTGACATACATAACTTAGAAGTACACTGATGAAGGCTCTGATAACTCCAGGGAGTGATGCCACTCAGTCTAATGTTGCCATGGATACTAAGCTTGGAGTGGCAGCTGAGTGGTTGCCTTAGCAACAAAAGCAGTGGTTGGTGGTGAAGCATGCACCAGGATGAGGACACAAGCATGCTCTTGTGTCCCCCTGTCATCTTGATTGATTGATTGTGTGTGTATTTGTGTGTGCAGGAGTGCATATGTGTTTATTCTACCTTTGATGGATATTAATTTCAGAGTGAGGTCCCCACAAAGGTAGCAAAACTGACTTTTCTCTAATTAACTCTAGCCAACTTTTTATTTTTTTATATGGTGCAAATTTCAGCATGTAGGTGGACAGCTGGTGCTGTTTGTGAGTCAAAGTTTGTGTCTGGCTAACAGATAAGTCTGCAGGTCTCAAACATCAGACAAGCAAGGCAGCTTTAACAGGCTAATTCAATTGAACAGTCATCTGCTGATGGGATCCTCACAGGACAGGATTAACCTGTCAAACGCACTGACTTTCACACAGCAGTGGACTACCACCAACAGTACTTAATATTAGTCTCATATAAACAGAATCCTTTTATATGTCTAAAAAATATATAAACAAAATCTATTTCAAATCACAGGTTCAAATTTTGGGATGGGAAAGAAGAAAAGCAACCTTTTAAAATGAATACCTGGACAGATCTATGTAAAGTAATGCCATAAGACAACTTCTTTAGGGGCGTTTGGGGTCAACATGAAAACTGAAAAAGCTGGTGGAAAATGTAAAATGGTGGTGGAGAATTTACTTTACTAAACGCAATCAATACATGTAGAATTAAATGCATAAACTAAACATTTGTGAATGTTACCAGAGCAATGTCTAAAATCAGTACCATCAAATCTGTCTGTCGCATTTTGCTTAAAAAGTCAATCAGGCCAGCAACAAATACATTTATTACTACTGATTAAAGTAGCTTGACATTTAGGCAGGACCTAGTATTTACTCTGAATTAGTGGAGAGCCTGATCTAAGATCAGTGGGGCCAAGCTCAGGACTTGCTTTCTTGCATAACCAGTTTACGTTTATGAGTGCAACTACGAAATGAGTGCACAAACAAATTTGCTACTGAAATAAATGCTGTGGTGTAGTTATCAATTTTACCAGAAACATTTAAAATGTTTAAAATCTTTTTTTTTTCTGGTTTTATGTTGCTGCACTGTGCTGTTGTGTTGACTAACTTCAAATTAGTGACCAAACTCCAGAAGTGAAAAAATTCAATTCGAGCAGGAAAGTGGTGTGAAGAAGTCATTTTTAACAGAATTCAAATGAGTACGGCATTTTGTGCATGTTACATTATCTTGGGTTTCTGGACAAGGTTCTAAATGATATCAAATCAGTTTTACCACTCAAAGAGGGCTCTTGTTTACAAAAATCAGAGCTGGAACAACGAGGCCAGGTATATCCCAGATCCTCCTCTTTGATGATTCATCACTTAAGTGACATCAAAGCAGTAAGCTTTCCTGAATAAGTGCTCTTTGATCAGACAGTGTCAGTCATCTTCCTCCCAGTGGCGTCAGGGATGCCAGGACCGGTGCTTCGCCAGACTGGAGCTTATCAGACCACAACTAAAGGGGAGGAAGGTAAATCTGTCATGTTGTACTGGACTCTGAGTGAGCTCTCAGCAGCACCAAGGGGATACTGACTTTCTTAAAACTGCTCTCTATTTCTAGTTCTTCAATTTGTTACCTGCTCTCACGTGTTTGGAAAACACTGTGACATTGCGAGCAAGAGAGAGCCAAGTATTATGGATAATGCATATCATAAACTCTCTGTACTGGTATGGCTTGGACAATAAGCGAATATTTATGCTGGCTAAATGCTAAATTGAAAAAAGTTTTCTGTTGACTCAAGTTTGCTCAATCAATCACCAGGCTTTGACACTTGAGAAATCCATCTACGAGTTATTTTAGGGGTGCTGGTTGACAATGTCTAGACAGGCACATAGACTGGCAGTAGTAGTAGACTAGAGTGACATTCATGGTGCAGGATTTCCCATCAAGGTGCCAATACAAACATGCCACTGATGATGCTGCCATTTCTGGAACACCCTGTCACACAAACACTGCCTGACACACAGCCACATACGCACCAACAATGTCATAAACTCAGCCACAACAAGGCAATAAAACAAGTAAACTCATGCACTGGTGTTTCACAGGCTCTCGGCGCCAAAACAAAAACAAAACAGGAGTGAGTCAATTGTAGCTCTTGGTTACATTAGACTCTGCTAATGAGAACATATCATATTTAATCAAAACACACTGGCCATTAGGGGTGGAGGGGGGTGTTAAAATATCCATGTGTCCCTGTACAGCTGAGGAGAAATCAATTGACATAAGTTTCGCAATTTTTTGTTTAGCTATTTTTAAATCGATTTTTTTGTTCAAAAATTTTTTTTTTTTCAAATTTAAGAATAAAGGTCCTTACACACCGAGGCTGACACGAATATTGAACGCGAAAGTGCGAAATATATATACATATATAAATATATATACATGAAACTGTGGTAACAACCGTTAGCACAGATGAAAGTTAAAACAAAGACGTTTCCCAAACTGTTAAAGCACACAAACTATCATCATATGAGAAATCCGACACAGTAGCTACGTTTACATGGAGCCAAATATTCAGAATATAATCGGATTAGAAGCCCAATCGGAATGAAAATGCTCCATATAAACACCTCATTCGGAATAAACAGGCCCATTCCGAATGGAATTTCATTCCGATTCACAGGGGTAGAATTTTCCTTTTCCCATTCCGATTAAAAGCAAAATCCTGTCATGTAAACGGTGAATCGGAAAGTTGTCAGGCTGGGTTCTGTCTGCGCATGCTCTGTCCTGATGTAAACAAGCAGTGACGTATGACTCACATGGAAACATGATGGCGGCTTCCAAGCAGAGCACGATGCACTGGTCTGCGTCGGAGATCACGTGATCAATCAATCAAGTGATGTTTGAAGGTATCACGTGTCTGTAAATAGCTGTTCCGATTGAATGCCGTGGCACATGTAAACACCAGATCAGAATAGATCGCTTCCATGTAAACAGTTCGCCTGGGAGCTTCAATCGGAATGATTATAATCCGAATGAGAAAAAAGTCTGCATGTAAACGTGGCTTATGACTCTCCACAAGTTGTCCTTCAGGTCAGTATCTTTGTAATGTTTGTGTCTTTTATCAAAAAGCAATCTGTACTCCGACACGTAAATAATCAGCCCGATATACTGTTGAATCTGACGTATCAACAACACGCAACCTGATTGGTCAGAAGTGGACACACAGTATGCGAAACTTTTAAAAAAATCGACCATGATCCGAAACAATAAATGCCACAATATCGCAGAATGGGAAAACGTCACTGATGTGAACTCTTGTATTGACAGGATACAGATTCGCAAAAAAATATTGACGTCCGAAATAATCGCACGACAAAAACGGTCCCGGTGTGAAAGGACCTTAAATCTTAAAAACTGACTTACATGTAATATGTATTTTTGCGGGAAATATGGTTCCTGGAATATTCAGTAGACAATCATAATCATTCAACTGTTTCACTGGTGTTAAAAATGCAGACTGAAAATTAAGAAACTTAACAACAAAAAATCGTAGAAGAATGTAATCGGGAGAAAAGCATATCGTCCCAGCCCTATAAACCATCATGGTGTCAACTCACTCAAGACAACCACTAAATTACAACACCTTTTCAGGAAGCTTCTGTACTGGCAAACATGAGAGGAGCAAAATATTACGAGCAACTTTTAATAATCCAGCACACAACAACGCCCACTAAGACTTAAATAATTAATTGAAAGAGCAATATTCACCTGTCTGATCATGTCAACAAAACCATGAAACTGCACAAGTACAGGCTGTGATAGAGCTGGTGTGTTGAATTACATGAGACTGTCCAGGTCGGTGCAAAAAAACATAATTTACCATGTCATGTTTTACCATCCACTATACGCCTTTTACAGCAAATTGCCTTCTGATACCTTACAGTGAAACACCAGAAAGCTGTTTATCAAAATTCATGTCAGTCACTTCTCCAAGAAATGGACCAGAGTTAGGAGTCGGTGCAACAGCAGAACAGATAAATCAGCAATCACCACTAAAACACAAACAACAATGTTGTAATCTTATCTAATCAGAGCCATCATGATGTTTACTGAGGCAGCTTTCCAGCTGACCGCAGGGCCACTTGTGCTGCTATAGCTAACTCGCTAGCTAAGTTCACAGTTGTCAGTTTCACACGGTAACGAAAAAACTACCTGATGTTCATATGAAATACACGTTACTCACTGTGTAGGAATGGAGCTTTCTCTATGAGTCCTTCTTGCTGAGGCTTCAGTGGTAGGTTTGTCAAAGTACCCAGGCTTGTTGTGATAAGCTTATCTCTCGTTAACGTTAGCCACTTTCGCTTCTCGGCCCCTGCTTGTCAGCTAGCTCTGATTAAGCTAACCTGCATCTCACTCGCTTCGCTCTGCTTTCAGCATGTCTCTGCAGCGGAATAGGACTTTTAAATACATTTTTGGCACTGTAGACCCAGGAAGCACAACATAAGTAACCTTTACGCGGGGTGTCCGTTGGAAGGATAAAAAAAGACGTTACGGTAAGATTTAGGCTATCTGTGATTTGAACAACTAGCAAATTTTGGCTAAAGCTAAATGTATGAGGCAGATGACGTTCTTTCTCAACATGCAGTTGGGGTATAGGCGGGTCCCTCTAGCCCTTCTATGATTGGCCAAATGTTGCTTGATGCTGAGACCTGGTTGGACATAGATCACGTCAGTCAGACAGACCTCTCTCCAGTCATACTGTAAACAGTAAAAATCAAACTGTTTGATAGCTCATTTACTCACTCTGGTGTTTGTGTTTATGCATGTCTGTCATCTTAGGGGAAAAATGTGGTTCCAAACTTGCTCTTTTTGTTAAACAGGGAAACACATACCGGGAAACTTTATGACTTTTTACTAGTTATCATTCAAGTCTTACTGAATGATAACTAGTCATAAGCCTTAAATCATAAGGATTACTTAATAAGTAACATTTTTCGCTAGAGAAGTTGACCTGCCATGCCAGAAATGTAACATATCAAGTGAAGTCATTTTTGCTCATTTAAATAGTCAAAAAGCACAATTTGCCATGGATGTCTTTAGTAGGGGAGAGTGAGGTAAGATGAGTCATTTTTCACTACATCAAGGTAATCATAGTTTTGTCTCTATGTACTGTATCTGCATATATTTCAAGCAAACCATCAGAATGAGTGTAAACATAACTGTCTTGATAATATAGCATGCCAAAAAAAGTGGTCTCCTATGTTCAACTTACCTCGTGTATGGGGTAAGTTGACCATAGGAGCGGGGTAAGTTGAGCCGTATCTCTACTATCCCCCCTACTCTTCACCCCAGCCCTCCCTCACCTTCTCTCTCCCTAAATAACAGTCACTTCTTTACATTCATGTGTATTTTTATCTATTATACACTATTTAACTGGTACAACAATTCATTTTATTATTATTGCATATAGCTGATAAAAAGCTGTTTTGTAAAAAGTCATTTTAACATGAGAATGTCTTTAAGTGATTCAGATCATTCACAGCTGTATTTTTGAAAAAAAAAATTAACACATTTCAACAATCTGAACTGAAACTCTGATCCGCTCATCAGACTCCTTTACTTTCTCAGTTGATCCACTGGCTCAACTTACTCCTGAACCACTATTATGACTTTATTAGTCCTCTAAGCTAAAATGGTGGACTTTTATGTTGGTTTTTGACCTCATGTTGTAGTTCATAGATACCACAATTGATATATAAAACAAATTTAAAATGATCTTTTTTGGTCTGAACACAATTCTAATGTTTTTTGGAAATAAATGTCTAACCCCTTCACCCATGTGCTTTTAACCTTCACAGCCTCCATGAATTGATGCCCATCTCCTAAATATTTGGTCACATGATCAATTTCTTTTACCATTTCCAAGCAACTGGGGGTGGCTCAACTTACCCTTTGGCTCAACTTACCCCACTCTCCCCTATATACACATATATACTGCACCTTGTTCGGTAATAAAAAGTTTTACTTGTACATCACCAAAGCACTGATGAAGCTCCATTGGAGAGCTTTTCGACTAATCATTCATTCAAAGCAAGAGCGAATCTCCACCCATGAATCATTTGCTGCCACACATTGTACCTTAGCCTGTAAACCAAACAAATCTACAACCTTATGTTTAACCTTGTATCTGGTCCACCTCCTGCTTGGACAGATTTTTGATTCAACACCCACCAATCCAGATTATCTACTGAATGCTAAAAAAAATAATGAATGAATTAACAAATAATAATCAACTGACACTAAAATTTTTAAAATCTTAAATAGGACTCCCCTAAATCAAATCAACATTAGAGGTATATATCATTGATGTCGGACATTTGTCAGTGTTGAAAGAAACAGTTCACATTATGTAATGATGATTAGCTGGAGCACAAGCATGCCATGCTCAAAGCCTGTCTATGTATTAAACACAAGTCCACACAAATTGTATAATGCAAGCAGTAAAACCTAATAGTCCCAAGGCTCTGATCAGTCACGTCATTAAAAGTAAGTATAGAAGTTTTATTGAATTTTCCTTCAGGGATAAATAAAGTTCTTCTTATCTTATCTTATACATTCATACTCTTTTGATTGTACATTTTTGAAATGAAAAACGGTCAGAGAAATCCTGAACAACCTGAATTTGTAAATTAGTCTGGGAATGCCAGGCTATTGGTGATCCTTAGCTGAGAGAATTAGTGGTAGGGAGTTTACCACGCCAACGAATGGCAGATACACCAGTGTAGTTTATAAATAACCAGAAAAAATCATATCACAAAAAACAATGTTTTTCGAGAAAATCATGCATCTTTGTTTCAAGTGCTTTCAGCATAAGCACCAAAAGGTTTTGTTTGTGGTAGTAACTTGGGCAGAAAAGTTCAGTTTGTCTTTGAATGGAACGGGGGTTAACCTATTCAATATTAAACACTCAATTTTATTATACTCCAGTAGAACAAAACTCTCTTAAGGCAAATGATCTATCAAGTGTGGTGAATGAAAATCCTATCTTCCTTTGCAGTTTGATTTCTTTGTTTAACTTTCATATGGTTATATATTTCACTTGCATTTTCAAGTCAGACTCTCAAACCACTCAGTTAATTAGCCTCCTGTTGTATAAAGTACTCCTAGAATGATGCCACTGTCTGCCTGTGTGTTCATAAATAGAAAGGACACTCACAGTGTGTAGTAAATAATTAATGGGATCATTTATTAAGTATGTAATAAACTTCATACTGCCATCAAATGATCCTCCTGTAGCTCATATTACTTTTCAGAGAACAATAGACCATTCTTGTTTGAGGAAAGATGACTCTAAAAGAAATGAAAGAAAGAGTCAGACAAATGAAAATGGCTTCTTTAATTACAAAGCTGTGTCAAATATATACAATTATTTTTTAAATGCAGCTTTAATATTGATCACTAAGCCAAAGAGCTCCTTGCTGTTTTGACACTGATGGAATGACTTCAGCTGTGCCTGTGTGCCTGCTGCCAGGCTTGGTAAAAAAAGATACAGTGCAATTACAATGACATAAAATCAGTGACTATTTTAAATTGTGAAAATAAAACAGACACTTCCAGCAAGGGGTTTGATTCAATTGGACAAACGGGTGATATATCTTGAAGCAAATATGATCATTTCAAACAGAAGCATCACAGATGCAAACCTTGAATTTCGAGACATATCTTCACTGTATTCACTCCTGTTGTTTTGACTCATCCAGAGTCATGAAGACAATAAAAAAAAACTTTCTTAGTCATTTGAGTGAAATTTAAAGCCTTTATATAGTCATATCATTCATAAAGTCATATCATATTATATCATTAGCCTTTCGGTTAAAGTTTGACTCTTGTCTTTCACATTTTGTATACTGTAAATATGATGAGATGACTGACGATTCACAGTGTTTTTTCCTTTAGGAAAGGGTGCGCTTAGACAATAGATCATATCAGCCTCCTGTTAAAGGGAACCATTTACCACTGCATCAGTATATGTAGCCATGAAACCTAACAGGGTTATGTTTTCTATCATAAAATATTAATCACCCTCAGTGATCACATAGCATTGCTCTCTACTAAAGCCTAAAATGCTGGCCATTTTCCCATTGGCAACTACTGCGTTAAAAATCTGATTTTTCACATTTTGGAAAATAGGCCAGTAAATTTAAGAAATTAAAGTGTTTAAAAATCAGGAGGAATACTTATTTATTTTTCAGATGTCAAAAGGTTTTGGCAAATCCTCTTAACTGGGTTACTTGCATCAGTTAGCCCCTTTATATATTGCTAAAATGTGTAAATAGTTATTTTTAAGGCCAAGGGGTTGAGTAATGTGCCGCAACTGTGTTATATCTTAACTGCAGCGTCACAGCCCAAGAATATTACACAAATACCTTATAACTACATATTAATGTGTTTCTTCTTTTGCAGTAAGAAATAACACCTGAACACCTCAGTCTAAGCACAAATGGTAAATAAATCCTGGTCCCCTACAGAGCCAGTGCTCAAAGTGTCCTTGGCAGATTAAAATTAATGGAAGTTTTGAACATGATTTCCATCTGTGGATAACACTTTTTGATCACCTCTTTATAGATCTGATTTTCATTCTGTTAGTTATACGGACTGCAAGTGTCCGTATAACTAACTGCACAGTTAATCCTGAATATATGCATCAACTTTCTCAACACTGACACCATTATATTTCCATACATACTCATTTGCTCAGTGTTGCAGAGCCGTTTAATGATATGGTAACAACTTTTGAGCCAAGCGCTGGTTTATTTGATAAATGAGGTGAAACACATTCAAGCTTAACGATAAAAAGCCTCAAGCTGGAATATTGATCCTTATCTGTTGTTCATTGTACAGCAGAGGGATAGAGTAATCATTGTTTTCCTCCGCAGAACAGCACAAGTTAGCAGAGTAAACATGGAGTTAAGTGCCTGCACTGCGTTTTCTGTGTTTGTATGAAATCACTCCATGTCTGATCCTGCAGAGTGCAGCAATCACGCCTTGCCTTGCCCTCCACTCTTCAAACACAAGAGCACTTGAAAAGCTGATTTCCTGCTCCTCAAAGAGAGCAGGTTTTCTTTTGTCGACTGAGGAGCTGGGTCAAAACAATAATTGTGCCTGAAAATATACACCACACATTTGATTTGCATGTCACTCTCATAAGTCTGCTCTCCAAGCCTCCTTAGCAGCACCCCCAACCCACCCACCCAAGCGTCACATTAGTCATTTATCAGATGGTTATAAAGATAAATCAATTTTATCCTCTGAGTACAATGTATGGAGTGTTTGTCCTTGTGTGTTTGTGTTTGTGTAAGAGAGAAAAAAAAGAAAAACAAAACCACACACTTGAATACACGTTAATGTACGTTATGTGAGGGGGCAAGTTTCTCCCCCAGCTTAATGGGATTAGAGTCATTAGCCAACTGTTTACTAAATGGGAGAGGACCCCTCTCTCTCTCTCTCTCACTCTCTTTGTCTTTGTCTCTCACTCTTCCTCTCTATCTACTGTTCCTCTCCCTCGCTTTCTTTCTGTCTCTGATCACTAATCACAGAGAGATGGCCTGGAAGTGCCTCAGGGCTGAATGCGAATGAGGGTAGCTGCCCCATCTGGATT